ACTTAGTTGTTGATTGGCCAATTTGGATGCCATGTTTTTGAAATACCGGTAAAGTAACGGGTTACTGAAGACCCCGATATAGAAGGCACCCGCTGAATGGTCAGAATATCGAGGTCAAGACACAGTCTTGTCTTGCTAAACCATTGCTATGACGTCACGCTGTTGATAAAAGTGTGGATTCGGAACGAAGAATCTTTAGTAAAGTTTTCTTAAATTGAATTTAAATTGAATTCTTAAATTACGATACCTACACTTTCTGGTGTATTCTCCTTAACATAATTAATCACCGAATCTGCTCGCATATCAAAGTCCCGTTAGGTATCCAGACTAGATGTTACCATGTTTGTGTGCAATGTACCGGTGTATCGAGTGAGGAAGTTCAGCTCAGGGTTATCTTTTCCTAGCCTCCCAGCTGACCTCTGTTTCCCCTTCTCAGATATCCTCATTTCCTTAGTACGGTAGTTGTAATCTGAGAGTGCAGCGCCAACAGTGCTTGTAGGTCCAATAAATCTACGGTAATCTGGGCACAAGTCAAGCATAAACGTACTAGAGAACCTACTTGTTATAGATCACATGTCCGTGCCAGTAAATCACAATGAGGAGTCAGGTTGACGTAGCGGTACTTTCCTCGCCTTCCACCACTGTGACCAGGGTTTGAATCCCACCTGGGTCAATGTGTGGATGGGGTTTTCAGTCCCTACATGTACCTGATTTTGTGGGTTTCCCCCAGAATATTCTTCTGGGGTTTCGATCCTCCCACCTCTAAAACTGTAGGCCTAATTTCTTCTCATTCATGTCATTGTCTTCTCTCTACGGGTTTCTTCAGGCTTGCCAGCTACCGGTACAGGGCCTGGGGCGCTGCTGAGGATCCTTGGTTTCATTTTCAGAAAAAATAAATCAATCAATAGGCCCTTAATAACTAAAAAAACAAGTACCAAGTGGTACAAGACATCTTTAATACGGCACCCTTCGTGCACCTGAATGGGGCATGATCTAATATGCAAAAATATGCAAATTAGACATGCGCATCAGCGTTTTCCAAACCGGTCTTCGAATGCAAAGCTGTAATACTCAAGTTGCACGAATACAATACATGTATACCGGTATGACCGAGTAAACTGTCCACCAACCTACCCACCCACCAACCAACATAAGCAGCTCAAGCCCACGGCGTGTTTCACACTGCCGTGGGAATATCAATAAAGTCAATTCACTTAGTCTGGGCACAGATAACAGGGAACAGCAATAATAAAGGAATTGCCTTTTTAGATAAATTTGTACATGTATGTACATGTATGTAAACTGAGTTCATACAAATTTAGTTAGTCCACATTTTGTTTGCAATCAGTTACGCATCCGGGAATGGGTGCAAGCCAGCTGATCTTGTTTCCTGACCTGACAATTTGCCGACGTCTATAAGTTGCCCGTTTTTCATTGAAGAAGGGTCAGGGAACCAGACTACAAGAATAGCATTTTTGTCTTGGTTTTTCCAGCATCTATAAAATACTGACCCCCAAATTCATCCTTTTAAAAAAAAGTACAGCAAAAGCAAATAAAGGTCTACAATGTACATCCTTTGTGCATGCAAAATCTACAGTAAGACACTATAATTAGCGTTTCCTGTTCATTAGGCCTATGGCCTTTTCCGAGAACTCAGAGACCTGCATCACGACGTGCGATTAATTCTCAAATCCCTTAATTAAATTCGGTTGTTTCTGCCTATCAAAATGACAAGGAAACACATTACAGGCATGGGTTGGCCATCGAAAATTGTGGTTGTCATAATTTGTCAAAATATAGGCCTAACCTTTCCTGACGAATGACGTGTTCTTGTCCGTTAATTGTTTAAATTGTTATAAAATGTTTGGAAAAGGGTGATTGTTTTTAAATTTTACTGGGTACATGTACCGGTACCATCACAAAGCAGTACTTATCCATTTTGTAAATTTACTTAAAAATTAAAAAGTTGGGCTAAAAATAGGGTCCTGTGCATGTATTTTACTTAATTAATAACACATGTTCACATGTGTATTATCCTACTTGTAAAAATGGTGTACGTGTCATATATCGGTATGTATGCATACATACATACATGTACATCACGTACAGTACATTTACATGGATTTATGTGTACCAGTACATAGGTGTACGTACATACATGTACATTGTACTACATGTAATGGATAACATTGATTTTTTTCATGGAATGTCAGCTCTTTATATGGACAGATAGTTTTTGTAAATGCATTTTTGCATTAGAACAACATTTACAGTTGTAGCATTCCAGATTTTCTTTTGGGGGGGGGGGGGGGATGAGGGTGGGTATGGGGTGCTGTATCCATTCTGTTAAAAATGGTCTGTGTATAAAAGTTTTGGATTTGCACTAGCAAAAATGATTATTAATCATAACAAAGGCGCATTGTCATGCGATGCAAATGAACCTCCAGAGCTCAATGTTTACTCGTACATGTAACTTGGGATCAAAATTAGGTCGCGAACTTCGCTGACCTCGCGAACAGTCATTATTGAAGCCTGCCCTAAAAACAAATAATCTTCCTACTGGAATTTATTGCGCATGCATACCGATTTACATGTACGTTAATGTTTGCCCTGTAGGCCTACATGTACATAATATGCCAAATACAACACAATACGTCCGTGTACACACTTTACGTTGACTGAGCCATACCAAGCATGCTAAGTACCGTACAATACATGTACATCCATGCGTCAGAGTTCTGTTAGTGAATTTTACACATGTATTGGATTTTTATTCTGTTTTGGGTGTGGTCATTAAATCAAAGCTGCAGATTTCCAACAGCGGTTATGGTTTGAAGCATTTTATTTATGAACACCGAGTGCCTTCCGTATGCATTCAAAGTACTGTATACATGTGCATGTACAAATGTACATGTATACAGGGTTGAAACCCATAGTTTGAACAATAAACGTGGGAAAAATTGTTAAACTTTTCATCTTAGCAAACTGCGCATTTGACATCTTTTGTATCCCAGCAACACTACAACAAGGTCACAAGCAGTGTCGTAGGCCAAGTATGCACTTCAGGATTACATGTAAATGTACATGTACCAGTACATTGTATGTAGAATACAGTACATGGAAACACTGTACATGTAGACCTGTCCTGTAGTTGTTCATGTACTTAAATACAATTGAGCTGTATCAATTGCTACTTGGCATGTAGTGGCCTGAACAGTATGCGAAACTTTCAGTTTCGGCAGCATTCAGATTTGTTGCTACACACACAGCTTTATAAATGTGCATTTTGAGCTGCGGAGAGCAGCTCAAGACAATGCAAGAAGTGATAGTGTCTCTGTGTTGGTTAGTAACACACTTCAGCAAATTTTGGCAATCAATCACCTTGTCCCTTAGGCCCTGGCAAGAACACTGCTTCAGGTCTCCACTGACCAGCTACCGGTACAAATGGTATTGGCTACTGATGGAGCCTGTTGGATTGAGCACTAAACCCCTTGTGTACATGTACCTGATGCAAAATGTTGGATTCAGCAGGCAACTGAACCGCATTATATCGCCAAGTTGGACTCCGTTGGATTCAGCAGGCAACTGAAAATGAGGCACAGTGGATTGGGCAGGAAACTTTGGTTGGACTCTGTTGGATTTAGCAGGGTAGTCCTGAGGAACTACGAGGGGGGGGGGGGGAGGTTATAGGGTTAATTAAAGAATGGTGCATTTAACAACTACATTGTAACTTGTTTATTTTTTAAATCAGTGGACATGGTAGATACTACATGGTACATTTTGAGGGGGGAAAAAGAGAAAACGTATACATGTACCGATACATGTCATGCATGTACACACAATTTCTGGGGTCTCGTAACTGGATTCTCGTAACTGGTAGAGAAACTGTGTCGGCTGGCACATTTTCTTAACACTGGAGCAGTTTTACACCAGAGCAAATTTGTAGTAAAAATATCCATTTTCTCTAAAATGCATAACAGCTACAGCTAAGAGACATCCCATTTTCACGTTTTTTTTTTTTGGGGGGGGGGGAAGTTTTGTAAACTGCACTTTTTGAATCATTGAAATGTTTTATGCTTTTTCCTGACAACTGAGGGCGCTGTTGCTGTGATGTCACTATGGAACACACTCTTCAGATTAGGGTTTTGCTTTTCAAATTGTCAACCCAAAATTCTGCTTATTGAAAACATGTGTCCATAACGTTTTCTCAATGAAATATAACAATGAACCACTAAAAGCAGAAAAAAATAACCGCAGCAAACTCCAAAAATTCTGGTGGTACATGTACTTTTAATGCCAAAGTTGATGTGAAACTCAAAAGTTTCTGCCTTGAATGACATCGCAGTTTTGCTCATGAATACACATGGGAATTTGCGTGAGCATAAAACCAAAAAGGCACCGAAATGCTGTTGAAATGAAAATATGAAGATCAGTTACGAAAATATTGGTACATGTAACATTAAATGGGCCACAGAGACATTACATTTCAAGGATATTGCACTAAAGTAAATTCCATTGGCATTACATGGGTTAACCAGTTTGCACTGGGATTATTTTGAAATTGACCGGACCCAGGCGTGGGATTGTTTTTCAGGAACCTCGATGCCAGACGGGTTCAGGCCATCATCTGCGAGTAGCACCACACTGGCCTCGCTTGCTGCGAGCGGGTTGCAGTCTGATATTTCCGGCCTCGCTCTTACTTTTTTATCTGTCATCCATTCCGAATACCGCAAAACCTTTGCGGTATACACGTCATCCGAAGTGAACTGGTTCAAGAAATTTTGGATTTGTGTCCATCATGTAAATAATTGACATTGGTCGATCAAAGGATGGGGGGGGGGGGGGTTGTAGCCACCCCTACTATCCCATTGGATCGTCCTTCGAGATACCAATATGTTGGTAGAGCTCCCAAAACTTATCTTTTAACATGTTATCAGTTTTCAGGAATGAGGAATTGTTGCTAAATATTCTTTTCCTTGTGTTTTTTTTTTATTTGACAGCTTGCTGGATGTGGTTGTATCGCAGCTGGAATCTGGGCCTGGAATGACAGGGTAAGATGCTTATTTCCTTGATTTTCGGCAAAATATTGAAAAAATTATATTGGATAGCTTTGACATTTAGTCACAGCCAGTTAGTCCTGTTTTATGTAGGCTGGGAGCTCTTAACGGTTCAGTAGGACTCCTGTGCAAGTACTTGTAAAATTTAGTGTTTTTATTGTTTGGCATTCATCTTATTATAGCCGAGGTTAAATCGGCCGTTTTTCACCTATTGAATTCATTTTCTTGGGACATTTTTAAATTCATTTGTTAGTTCTTTTTCTTTTTCTACATAAATTTTATCATAAAGTAATTTATGCATTTATTTTATATATTTTTATTTCTATTCTATGTGTAACCTATTCAAGTTAGGATCGGCAGGCTTTCAAGTCAAACTGTTTCATTATACGGTACTTTCGTCGGTCCTGGCCAACTTTGATAGGGTTGTTTTGTCTCTAATTTTAGTGTTTTTTTGAATTGTATGTTGTTCATGTAGGCCTACCGGTTGTTGAAGGCCGAATAAATAATAATAATAATAATAAAACAATCACTTGCTTGATTTTGACTGAAATGACAACTTGGCATAGAATATGTTTGTATAGGAGGGTTAGCCAAACATCCTTCGGTAGATTCTTCTCGGCCAGATACGCTCCCAGAATATTTACTGGTTTCTTGGGTTTTCAAGGTCTTTGCGGCGACTTTATTGTTCAAAATGTTGTCAAATTTTTCTTCGCTAATACCGACGCACATTTTGCGCCTCTAGAAGGGGCCAGCTAATTTGAGGTGATTTGTTAAAGATTGGGGCATAGCGTTCTGCCGCCTTACAAAAAAACACCATATTGATAAAAAGAAAAGAAAAAGACAAACAGATACTCAAATCATACGCTTACGAAACGACTGACCGGAAAAACTAACAGTTTCAAAAAGCCAGCGGTGCGAATTTGTCGACCATCTCCCACAACGTGCTGGTAAAAATGAACTCTCCGTGGCAAAATCTTGGTGGCGCACTGCATTGTGAAACGCCCAAATTGTGCACGGTGTCAGAAACATACATTGTACCTGTATATCCTGTTCGGTTTCTGAGAAAACCGACACGGGGTAGACGTTGACAAAACAGCGAGTTAAAAAAGAAATCATTAGACCGTGGGCTGTTGTCAAGGCCCTTCATCCATCAATCGTATTTCCATTTGTTGGTGGTGGGAGGTAAACACTTTTCAAAAGGTCGCAAGGGTATGGTGCATAAAGGATTCTGGTACATTCATCCCTAGTACATAATGCAATCCAGGAAACATGAATTCAATGGCCTTGTTGGTTTTTTTTAGTGGATTGGAGGTACATGTATTGAATTTGATTTTTTGGGGAGGGAAAAAATGTATTTCCTGATCATGACTTTGCCTTTTTTTCACCCGATAATTTGACAAAATCCAAGCTATACATGTGCAGCATTGGTGTCAGTTTCATAATTTAGCTGTATAATTGAGGGTCTTCTTTAAATACCATTACTTGGAAGATGCATGTGATCTACTTTATATGGAGATCAGACATTAAAGTTGAACTCCCGTGCTAATTTTGAGTTTCACCTCGAAAAAAGAGATTGTTTTTTTTTAAATTGGTGTTTTCCTACCGTATAAAAGTTATTCACTTTTGAATGAGACATTGAACGAATATATCCACCGGCGTTCAGTTATTTCATTTTTTCTTTACAAAATATGAATTTTTTGGCTGCCAGACAATAATTTGGCTCTTTCAAGATGGGTTCATATGTGGGCAAAATGAAAGCCATTTTTCAGACGGTTGCACACGCCCCAAATCGGAATAAAGTAGTTTGTTCGTTATGATAATTAACATACACATTGAAAATTCATTATGAAAAACAATAAGTTAATGTTTTGCAGAGGGCTGGGTACATGTACCGGTATGCAACTTTATTAAGTGAATACGTGTTCTGGTACATGTATACATGCAAGCACATACAGGTACATGTACATGAACATGTACATGTACCGGTATGTACAAGTACTTGTACATGTACATGTTTTATGTACATGTACATGTACATGTAGGGTATACATATCACAATCAGTAAATGAGCAATTTTTATACATGTACTTACATGTACTTTATACATACATGTACATGTACTAAACCACACATACATGTTTGCTGTACCCTTGCATTGCATGTACATGTATATGTGTACACACGTGCACATGTACATGTGTATGTACCTGTACATGTACCGGTACAACATGTATAGCTCACCAGTGAGAATCCATTCCATCTTCGATCACACACATTTTTTTCCCCGAAATATCTAGATATAGGACAATTCTCTAAGCCTTTTAGCGAGGGAATGAGGAGTTCCATGTAGCACTCTAGTTATTGAAGTTTACGCATTATCGCACTTCTCTTTCTTTCTCTAGGGGGCGCTAGGTAACCTGGACGCGTTCCTGTCCTCATCTCCTCTGGTGGACCCTGTCTTGTGGTTCATGGTGGTCGGTGGGATCATCTTCCTCCTGGCGACGTTTGGCTGCATCGGCGCCCTCCGGGAGAACATCATTTTACTCAAAATTGTAAATATTCACCCCGACTTAGTCTTTGTCCAAGATCGGTATTTGGAAAAAGCCCCAGTCACACATTTACGGTTTGGAGCTACGAATATCCAATGTTTACCAAGAATCAATCGTTCACGATGAACCATCCAGATTCGTGGAGAAATCAACTTTCAAAGAATGCACTGCGGTTTCAAGACAGATTACCCCGACTGTTCTACAGTTTCTCTACGAATACACCATGGTTTGTCAAGAATATGGATTTAAATGGTGAAAAATATGGACGGTATTACTAAGAATAATGACGTCAACACCACGCTTGTCTATGATTGGGCCACAGATGTCCAAAGTTCGGAAAGAATGTTGCAACCTGACACTACTTCAGCGGTTGTGTACAAAGTCTATGGAGAGTTAAGAGAAAAATTTCCAAGTATTTCCTAACAAATTGGAAATGTTTCTCAGTCCCAGATTCATGTCTTATCATCATTTTTGCAATTACTGACCTTCATTGAGATGATATATGAAGGAAAAAGCAGCGTCAGATTGCCACATTCTTTCCCAAAGTTCTCCTACAAATATAGCGTGGATATTCGTAGTATAATCTTAGCAGAACCCTAGCACATGCGGGCATATCTGTATGACACTCGTCGCGAATTCGTACAGATTTCTACCACGAATGAGCTACAAAGTTGGAACTTGAATTTTTTTTATGTTGTCTGTTTTGCTTTACAGTACAGTGGCCTTCTGGGGCTGATCCTTTTGATTGAAATAGGAGGGGGCGTGGCCATCTATTTCTACAGAGCTGAGGTAGGCATATGTTTGTAGCTGTGACTTCGGTACATATGAGTACAAAACAAAGGCTCAAGTTCTGCGAGCAGGTTTTCGGTGACCCGATTTCATCGTATAAACGTATGATGCATCGCAGTGCTGCGACGCGTCGTATCCCCAAAAATACTATAGCGCCGAAGGCAAACCATTGTTTAAAGGGAAAATACAACATTTGCAAACATAAAAAAATACAACTACCAAATCATTTTGAAATACCTTGCTGGACTGTTAGTGAATGACAGTGTAAAGCATCCTGTAAAATCAGGGCACCTGGTAAACTGTCATTTTCAAGAAAAGTGGTATTTTTGTATCAATTTCCAACGCTGATCGGCCGATCAGCGTTGGAAAAAACTGGCTTTTTTTCAAATACTGGCCCCAATTGACCATCGCACTTGTTTGCAATCGATTACAAAGCTATAAACGGGTACGAGCCAGCTAGACTGGTTCCCTGACCTTACAATTCCCCAATGTATGTAAACTGCTCTGTTTCTTCTTATATGGAGTCAGGGAACCAGACTACAGGAAAATGATCGTTTTTCTTGGTTTTTATAGCATTTTCGAACCCAAAACCTCAAAAAAGTCAGTGTAACTATATTTGCTATATATTTCCAACCCCCCAATTCCATCCATTTCTGAAAATTATAGCAAAAGCAAATGATGTATATTCCCTTTAAACAAATGGTTTTGCACAATCGTTGGCTTGCTCAAATGGCCTCCATGGCAATTTCACAATTTCTATGGAGTTCCCCATCTTGCCCCTTCGGCACTACATGTACATGTATAAGATCTTATCCCTACGATGTGTTGTAGCTGCCACATGTCCTGCGATCCATTTCAGAAAAACGTTGCCTAAGTGCAACGCGTTGTACATGCACGTGTATAAATTTATAGATATAAAGTCCATATTTATTCAGTGAACAGTAAATAGTCTTCTAGTTGACATGTATCTGATATTCAACAAAGAGTCGTCATTTTTCCTCTCGAAAAATTTTAAAAAGTAAAACAAAATGGCGGACGTGTGATGTAATTTTAAAGGAACAAGCTCCCGGTGGATTGTATAGCTACCTTGAAATTGTCCATGCTACTCCATATTCAGTGCTGTGTTATTTACATCTGTGTAAGCTGTGTAAAATCCTGTACGTTGAGAAAAAAAGGCTGATGTGGTTTGGGATTGTACATGTAATCATTTGCCCTTGAGCATTAAACCGATTTCTTGCCATGATGACTGATAGCCAGGTAAATGATTCCAATCCCAACTGCAGCCCTTTTCACAACATGAAGGATTTTACACAGCTTACATTTTAACACAGTACTGAAATTGAATAAGGCAAGGAATTTGCTCACAGTGTCCAAAAATGTAGTCGTGATCAATTGGTCGTGATCAATTGTGCAGTGATGCGCGACTGAAATTAAATGAAACTCATAGGGGTTGAGGCCAATAAGGCTTAGGTCTGCACAACCAAACAGTTTCAAAGTTGACCTCATGGTTTTGTAGTTATTTCACAAATAGTTAAAGGGAATATACATAATTTGCTTTTGCTGTAATTTTCAGAAATGGATGGAATTGGGGGGTTGGAAATATATAGCAAATATAGTTACACTGACTTTTTTGAGGTTTTGGGTTCGAAAATGCTATAAAAACCAAGAAAAACAATCATTTTCCTGTAGTTTGGTTCCCTGACTCCATATAAGAAGAAACAGAGCAGTTTACATACATTGGGGAATTGTAAGGTCAGGGAACCAGTCTAGCTGGCTTGTATCCGTTCATAGGTGTGTAATCAATTGCAAACAAGTTGCGATGGTCAATTGGGGCCAGTATTTGAAAAAAAGCCAGTTTTTTTCCAACGCTGGTCGGCCGACCAGCGTTGGAAATTGATACAAAAATACCACTTTTCTTTAAAATGACAGTATACCAGGTGCCATGATTTTACAGGATGCTTTACACTGTCATTCACTAACAGTCCAGCAAGGTATTTCAAAATGATTGGGTAGTTTTATTTTTTGATGTTTGCAAATGTTGTATTTTCCCTTTAAGACTGACTCTTTTTTGGGGACATACTGTAGAGTCAACCGGTGGGTCACCTTTTGTGGTGAACAAAACCAATCATTAATCATACAGCTGTTGTTTTTGTTTCCTATTGAGCAGTACCTTTCTACCCACTGACTCTGCATTGTCAAGGGTCATTTGCAGGCTCCTAAAACACCCAACTATAGAAAAAGGCTTCCAAATTTGGCTTTGCCCCAAAATTCTTCAAGATATCCATGAGGCATGAATGAAGTTCCTGAGTATTTTGCCGACCACGTTTTGGAGCTTTTGAGTCATGAAACTCTGAGAAATACATTTCTGAGGCTACCGTGGGAAGGACGTGGGGTTGAGCAAAGTGTAGGAGGATTCCAGAAATTCATGAAATAACAGGAAATCGGGAAAATTGACCAACTCCGTTTGTTTTGCCGTGATGGCATTCACTTCTCAGATGTCATGCTCAGTGCTGTTTCCATGTCAGGCTGAAATTGCAAACATTAAAATTATGAATTTATTCAAATCCAACAGTTTCAATAATCAAATTACAGATTTTGTTTTTAGTAGACAGGGGCGTCCCTTTTTAATTTTGTATGGTCTCATATTTTTTGTTGCATCTGAAGAAGGGTCGTTCGTTCTAACATGAATCAATATCAGATTTTGCCCTTCACTGACGTATGCAAAATCACTCGGGTGGGACTCGAACCCATGACCTTGTACTTTCTAGTGCAGATGTCTTACCGCTCGACCACCGAGCTAAGGGGATCGGTTGGCTGGTTCGAATCTGATGTACATAGCAGCAGGTACCGCCATTAAAGGGAAAATACAACATTTGCAAACATCAAAACATAAAACTACCAAATCATTTTGAAATACCTTGCTGGACTGTTAGTGAATGACAGTGTAAAGCATCCTGTAAAATCATGGCACCTGGTATACTGTCATTTTCAAGAAAAGTGGTATTTTTGTATAAATTTCCAACGCTGGTCGGCCGACCAGCGTTGGAAAAAACTGGCTTTTTTTCAAATACTGGCCCCAATTGACCATCGCACTTGTTTGCAATCGATTACACACCTATGAACGGGTACAAGCCAGCTAGACTGGTTCCCTGACCTTACAATTCCGCAATGTATGTAACCTGCTCTGTTTCTTCTTATATGAAGTCAGGGAACCAGACTACAGGAAAATGATTGTTTTTTTTGGTTTTTATAGCATTTTCGAACCCAAAACCTCAAAAAAGTCAGTGTAACTACGGTATATTCGCTATATATTTCCAACCCCCCAATTCCATCCATTTCTGAAAATTACAGCAAAAGCAAATGATGTATATTCCCTTTAACCGATTCATAAGATGGAATATTTGTGGTAGTTTTTAATACATTTTTGTAAATGGGATTCCAGACTTGTTCATCGGTAATAAAAACAATTTGTTTTTTCTTGGGTCCGGAGCCCAAAATAGGGTCCGTTGGAAACCAGAACCAAAGAAGTAAAAAAAGACGCCCTTATGCCAAGACAAGGCAGGAAGCGCCTATCGTCCAAAAGGACTATTTGACACAGGAAATAAGACTAGGAAAGTGATAAGTGATCGAGTTGTTGATGAAGCTCTATAGATAGCCTGTGGTTCGTAGGAGGATTCCCATGTGCTGGGTTAATTTTTTCCGTTGACGTAGCATGTGGTTTCTTCGTGCGTCTTGCCTGAAATTAATTTAGTGGAGTATAGGACATCAGGCAAAGACATGTGGGATTGCCATTTCTCTGAGGGACGCATGATTAATCATTGGAGGGGTTAGGTGCAGGGTCTTGGAATTGTTGCCTAGGCAACGTCTCAAAGGGGCAGTTTTTTTTCAATTTTTTTAAGTCTAGCCATGTAGCTGCATGTACGTGTTCGTCAGACAGTGTCAAAAATCTTGTTTATAGACCTAACACCTACAGGGTGAGTAAAAAATATACAAAACCCAAATGTTGGGACAAATTTATTACTAATGAACTAGTGAAGTTCTGCATGTAGCACTTTCAAAATGTAGAATATGAAAGCCCAGTTCGTAAGCTTTCTTTAAGTACAGGAATCATTCAAATCACTCATGTAATTTTCAAGTTACGGAATTTTAAACGCAACCACTGTTAAAGTTCTGACCACGGATCACAAAAAGGTAAGTGTTCTTTCAGCAAATTGAAAACAAATCACATAGGGATGTGTGCAAATTGTTTGCGTTTTGCTGAAAGAACGCACACCAGTAGGAGTTATGGATAAAGGGGCACTAGGTCCTGAAATCCCCAAAAATTTCATGTTTTGGATTGTTTACCTATCCTATTTCAAACATGTGGTTGAAAGGAAACCAACCTAATGTCTTACCGTTCCCAAGAAAAGACGGAAAACCTGTTGTTTACATTGGACACGACGGAGTACGAATACGTTATTCCTGTCGTTCTCAGTGTACGATATACACGTTGTGTGTCTCATAAACAGCGGTGACCAATCACCAAAGCACAAAATAAAGTTACAAAAAATAAATCGACGTCCCCAAAAGGCGAACACTTTACGGCTGAAATCACAACTAGCACACAAACAGCTTGACTATTTGGGGTTGCAAAAGTGGATCCCCGAAATTTGTTCTCGCATGCATAATACAGGAATAACACAAAAATGCCCAGTTTTGAAAGGATAGTTGTGTGAATGTTTATATCCTACTTTTAAATGTTCTTTCCGATTAACATAATCTCGTTCAAAGCGCGTTTTGTAGCCCAATTGGGCTGTTCCAGGACCGAGTGTCCCTTTAAGGCATTTTTCTGAATCATTGACATGTATATTCTGATGTTTTGCTTCCTTTGCCTAGATCGAGGAGAAGATTGCTGAATACTTGTCGGAAGTGGCCATCAAAAACTACCGATCCAACGAGGACTTTCAGGACATTGTGGATTCGTTACAATCGGGGGTAGGTCATGAATGATTCAGTATATGACAATTTTTATGTAAACTTTTGAGCTAAAAGGTTGCGAACCTTAAAGGTAAGGAACACAGTTTGCCCCCAAAAAAGTTCTTTGCCGATTCAAGGAACAGCAATACAACAGTCTGGTTCCCAGACCAAAAGATTCTGACCATTTCTGATGAATGTTAGGTCAGGTGATGGCTACACTACCGGTTTATGTTTTATATCTATGTACATGTATACGTCATGTGACCAAATCAGGAGGAATGCCTCCCGTTTCCGAAAATGTCCGAAGTTTGCCAAATGCATTTCGTCAACAATCTCAGAAAGCGCCCGGTTATTTCCAGGTATAAACTAGGTGTTATTTACCTGCCTTGCTTATTAAAAGTGAAAAAAAATGAGTTGATAATTAATATTCACTGCTTGCATTTAGCAAAGTTAAAACTCAATGATGATTTTGTGCATCAAGTACATGTATGCACTTGGATCGTACGAGGGGCGAGCTTTGCTGGGTCATGTACTATTTTGAATCTGATGACGGTTACCAGGATATTCCAAAACTGGGCGTAGTCTCCATTTCGGCTTCGCCAGCTAACAGTGCTATTTGGGTGCCTAACTTTGAAGATTCCAGGTTAACATTAGTCGATGTTTTTTTCCCAGAAATATCAAATTGTATGATATATGATGTATGATTGGAACATTAAAAGCTATAAATAATAAAAGCTTAATCGAAGCCGAGCTTTGAAAAGGGCCGTCATGGTTGCCTGACCTACAATTTAGAACGGGACGTCGGGAATTGTCAGGTCAGGGAACCAGACTAAGCAATACAATAAATATCTGAAGCAGGTTATTAAAAACAAATACATATGTAAGCTGTCGAACTTTCAGCTCAGTAGATATACATTTTGAGAAACGAACCATCGCAAGAAAGTGGTAGGAATTCCTCCTTTCATGAAAATGACAACATACCAGGCACGTAAGCACAGTAATGGTATGATATCACTCGATTATTGGATATTATTTTGATATCCATATACTGATTTTTAGCCTTCCAAGGCCCAGTTTCTTTGCTGTGCCAAATTGACTGCTTCCTCCACGAGGTCAGCATGTTTCATCCAACGACGCTTACGGGCTTGCTTGCAAGCTGTAGTACGCACAGAAACCAGACATGCTTATGTCACACACGCATGCAAATGCACACACAATTCTTCTTGGAACTTCCCGAGCAGAAATACGAAATTCCCAAGATGACGTCCAGTGTGGACTGTTGGCGTGTGTGTCAATTAGGGCGCCTGCCCGCTTTGGTGAATAGCTACACAGTCACGGTTCTGATACATCGCCCTGCTGAGGACATATTAAACCAAGACCACCCCTAATTTTTTGATTTTTTGTTAAATTTTTTTTCCCGTAGCTCTACTGTTGTGGAGTGAACAACTACAACGACTGGGACATGAACATCTACTTCAACTGCTCGGAGAAGATGGTCGGTACGAACGCGAACGTCGAGGCATGCGGAGTTCCCTTCTCCTGCTGTTTGCAGGACCCCGCGAGCGACGTGGTGAACACGCAGTGCGGCTACGGAGTTCGGGCCGACCGAGTAAGTTTCCTTGAAACGGCGTACAGAACGTCATAGCGATTATTCAGTATGAGAATGACCAACATGGTCGGTGTCACATGGTTTCATGGTAGGTATTAAACAAGACCGAAATGTGCAAAAAGGCCTATTGATTTTGATGGATTCAGGACAGTAAGCCTAGCGGTACTGCTGGATTTTGATGGATTCAGGATACCTCCATATTGAGCAGCTGGGGGACTTTGATGGATTCAGGATCTCAACCATGTCAACAGTTTAAAGCTACAGTCCATCATTTGTAATGTGTGCATTTTGTTCGTTTGAAGCAACAAAAGAGTTCAAAATCTAATGAAGGATACTGAGCAACTAACCTGATGAAGTTTCAGCTAAGCTTCAGCTGTACATTCCGAGAAAAACAGCATTCTAAGATCTCAATTTCAAATCAAAAGTTACTGAATCATGTTTTGAATTGTTTTGAATTGCAGCTATACGCGACGTCGCGCACTGATCCGACGAATTACAACAACCGCGCGAGCGTGTGCGTCGTTCCAATACTTGTGCGCGCTGCGCTGAATAAAAAAACGAACTACTAATTTAAATTTTCCTACGGTGCTTCTTAAGAATCACTGTTGGAAATGCCTTCTTTCGTTGATTACTTCAAAATGACAGCTTCCCAGAAAGAATAATTTCACAGGGAGTTTAGTTCCCTTACTATCTTTCAACCAAGTTTGTTTTTCAACAATAATTACGCCAGTTACTTTTTGGATGGCTGCAAATGATGGACTATAGCTTTAACTCCTTGGCTATATGTTTGGTGTGTACAAGGTACCTTGTATTTCACTGGTGGATTCTGATGGACTCAGAACACCAACAATTTTTTTGCATTGACAGAAATGGTGGATTTTGGCAGATTCGGGATACTTTCTAGTAAAAGTGCTCAAGGGTTTTCAACCGTTAGGGTTAATACAACAAATCTGTCATAATGACTAACGTGTACACCAGCTTGCATTTGTCCAGTGATATGATCCCCAGTTGGTCATTGGTGAAAATAACTCTCACTCATGGATATTTTACCAGTTCTGCAAACTAACCAAATCTCGTCAATTAACGGCAGTCGTTTTGGGGCTTTTTTTTTCTTTTCTCATGATGGTCTGGCCTTAACCATTGCAAGGAATTTATGGTAATTCCTACTTCCTCAAGAAAAAAATGACAGTCTACCGCGATAATTTCACAGAATGCTTGATCCTATTATTTTCTTACAATCAAGTACATGTAGGATATATTTCATATTCATAAATACCTCAGACAGTTTAGCTATTCCCATTGGTCGAGAGCCCGTCACGTGGCCGGTCTTAAACGGATGATAAAGACATGGCTAGCTGGTCTTAAACACTTTTCCACTGTCACAATAAAATGTGGACTCCTAAAAATCCAGTGCCTATTACCGTTTCATTGGTTGAATGTTCACAATCCTCACGTAGGCATGCGCAACACTACCAGCGAGTCAGAATTTTATAGTTCTAAATTCAAAACGCAACGCCCAAGGTGCGTTCTGCGCGACATCGCGCAGAACATGCTACGCGCGCGTCAATCTCCATAAAAGAGTTGTTTACATCTTACTCGCCAGCTGAACACTCCATTATTTTGCTAGAGGGATGTTTCAAAAAGCATGAAGTGACTTGTTGAACAAATTTGGAATTTTTGAACGAATTATTTGATATTTTTTACCGAAAAGGTATTTATGAATGGGAATAAATATGTGCTCGGTCGGTATTTATCACTCTGTTTAATACCGCTTAGAGTCTGGGTGCTGATAATTACCCTCGCTTCCAGCTCGGGTAATTATCAGACTCTAAGTGGTCTTAAACAGAGCGATAAAAACCTCCGGAGCACACATTTATTCCCTTACTAATTTGGCAGTTGCAATATTGAATGTTTGCAAATAAAAACAATTTGAACATAAAGCCTAGCCGCCATGCATTATACTGTACATGTACATCAACATTTTTTTAGCGCATAATCTTTGGCTTTTCAACACACAGCAAATTATAGTTCAGTTAACCCATGCACGACTGTAATCGATTTACAGGCATTTGGAATTCCACCAATTTGTCCGTCATCTGGAAAGGCTATATACTTTCCTGAGAGGCACTTCGCTTCGCCTCTGACAGGAGATATTTTTAGAAATCAAATAAACTCATTAAGGCCCAACTGACAGGGCTGTTATCACGGATCACTTACAATCATAACAATTTTGTTGGGAACATTGAAATCATTTTACAAAAGCTGTGCCACATGTTTGAATAGTCATAAATTTTATCAGTTGTGAATTGAATAGCTACATGTACTGTACTATGTATTATTTTACAAAAGCTGTGCCAAATGTTTGAATATTCAGAGATTTGATCAGTTGTAAACTGAATAGCTTAATGATTCCGACATTCAGAAATCAAAAAATATTTTTGTGAAAATTGCCTCAGATCGCACCACAGAGCATCTAGAATCCAAAAAATTTTCAGGGCCCTTATGTGGGCACCGAACCCCCCTCCCACCCGTCGTAATTTTTTTGACCCACTTTTTGGGGGACCAAAATTTTTTTGGCCCCCCCCCCTCCAAATAGTGTTCTGGATCCACCCATGTCTGAGGAAACGGTATGAGTACTTCGCTCGTACCCCCCGCCCTGCAAACAGGACGCTGGGATACTCTGATGAGCTTCACAGAATCTTGTGAAGGAAGTGGCCTATGACCTATATATAAAGCATCTTGCTGCAGCTGTTCAAGACTGCAGTTAGACAATGTGCGCAAATGCTATCCGAAAACTTCCCACAGAAATGCGCGCATTTCATACCGGATGTGATTTCTGTTTCATTGCGGACCATGTGGACAAAATTTTGAGGTCGCATAATGCATCCGACCGTTAGTGATTCAAAACGGAGCCTGAACACTGAACAAGTGACAGGAATTGTAAATTTACAACACAGATAGGTTTTTCAGAATTTCCTACATTATTACGCTTTTTCAACAAAAATAAAACATCTCTAAACTGGAATAAAAGAGTAATGAATCCGTCTTAACGGCCGTCTCAAACCTTCCACAGTCGACGACCAAGATGACGCGAAGGTCACAGGTCACGTAAAATCCAACCAATCAGAGCATGAATTCATCAGAGTATCCCAGCGTCCTGTTTGCAGGGCGGGGGGTACGAGCGAATATGAGTAACAGTACGAATACCATTGGAGTACCATCGTACTCAAGTACAAATACCAGTACGTGTGTGACTATATACTTCAACACTCTGTTCTTTATTTTGCACGTTTTGCCAGACGAAAAGCCAGATTGGGGAGGCTATCTACACAACAGGTTGTCTGGACGCCTTCAAGACTTGGCTGACAACCAACCTGGTCGTCGTGGCTATAGCTGCTGGGGTCATCGTACTAGTTGAGGTAACGCCACGTCCAAATTATTCGGCTTCTTATTAGCATATAATCGGCTCATTTGCATTTATCCCAAATGTAACCGTTACCGAATCATTATCAAAAACGCTTACTTGGATTTAAAATCGTACAGCACTGAACACCCAGCGAAATGATTCTGTCTGGCTTGCTGGCATTTTGAAAAAATTGAAGACATGAAGGTGATCAACGATCAATCGACTGATGTTTGGAAATAATGAGTGCTATGGACGAAATTGTGTTTCGTGATCAAAAGGTTGTGCATGGTTTGTCACAATTTTCTCGCAAAGTGTAATATCCACCGAGCTGAAACTTCAACAGGTTAGGTTCTGAACAGTCCTCTTTGGATTTTGAGAGGTGTGATTATTGGAAGTTAACAAAATGCATACAAAGCAAAATGATCCTACACGTGTATGTCTTTAGCTCAATCGGTATGAATTGGCAGCCTAATCTACCTATTGCAAGGCCAAGTCTGCTTCCTTTTCCCGCATGCCTCTTTTTTCTCCCCCTTTTAAATTTTTTGTAGTCGTACATTTGCAGTATATTTTGACTTTTGATTTGTTTTCCAGCAAAATTGTAGTGTATGCAAATTCAGAAATCTGGCAGAAAGGATGGTGGCTTCTTTGGACACGAAAATATTAGCAAAAGAGTTGAGAAAATGAAAGAATATATCCGCCATCTTAGAAATCTGCCATCGGGGGGGGGGGGGGGGGGGGGGGTCTCCTCCCCTTTTTCAAAAGCCCAGATGGGAAACTATATTTTCGATCAATCAGTACAATTGATCGATTGTTACGAATCAGCAAATTTTCGTTATCTTTTATCTTTCTTCCGCCTGTTTCAGGTCTTTGGATTTTGTTTCTCCACATCTCTAGTCAGCGACATCAAACGCCAAAAGGCAAGATGGCGACACTGAACACAAGAGGGCGTCAAACACGTGAACACCAGAGGGCGCCACACACAAACCAAGAGGGCGCCTGTCATACACAAACACAAGAGGGCGCCACACACACAGACACAAGAGGGCGCTAGTCATACACAAACGCAAGCGGGCGCCACACACACAAACACAAGAGGGCGCCAGACACACAAACATGAACTCAAGAGGGCGCCAGACACACACCAAAAACACAGGCTTCCCAAACTCCAGCTCATCAAACACTTTTCTATCATAATTTGTGAGGGCATTTAATGTGCAAAGTACTTTTCTATTTCATTTTCATGCTAGGAATCTTGGAGGTTGATCCTCTATAGATAAAATTGTTGGAAATTTTACCATTCCTGTAATCAAGGGAGTAATGACATTGTAATGAAATGAATCGTTGAAGGGAAACTTTTAGATGTACATGTGGTTTGTTTTTTTACACGTAACATTTACCGGTATGTTCCATGGTTGTTCTTTGCATATTTTTAACCATGAAGCTTGCCCTGCCATCAATTCAGTGTGCGTCAAACTGTTGTGATTGGCCAATGAGCTGCATTTCAATAAGCCACACCCCTAAGCCAACAGCCACACCTCTAAGCCCATGTCCACACCCCTTAGCCAACAGCCACACCCCTTACATGTAGCTGTTGGCCACTGACAACCCAAGACTGTGATTGGCTTATAAGCTGCATTTCAGTAAGCCACGCCCCTAAGCCAAAAGCCACACCCCTAAGCCAACAGCCACACCTCTAAGCCAATAGCCACACCCCTATACCAATAGCAACACCCACTGGACATAAATTTGCATAATTCATAGTTTATCAAATTTGTCAAGTACACGTACATGTAGCGTCTAGTTTTTTAATGTACATGTAGATTTAACAGAAGCACAATAGTTATGCTCTGCAAATTTAAGACGTGGATGAATAACAGTTGAAAATCAGAAATTGTCCTGTCGTTATTTTGTGTTTTTACTCAGTATATTATCAAGTAAAAGTATACTCAATCTTTGGATTAACAGGGCACTGTAAAAAAAAAACATTGTTCACAGAAACTTTTGCCACAACAGAAATAGGGTTTATGGCTGGAGTATTCAAAACATACGTCATTTTGACCGTTTTATTTTTTTACGTTCTAAATTCTGGTATAGTATTAAAGAGTTACAGGGTTATTTTACCACAGCGTAGATTTTTTTCAGTGATATACTCACTCGTCGTTTTTATTATATGAAAGATCTCATTCCATTTTACTCAGAATTAATCTTAATAAAAGATACGTGGGCTACATTTCCAGAAAGAAGTATTTCCGCAGTTCGGTGCGTTTTGTTTTAACTTTAGCATAGAACGTGTAAAGTGTTTACAAACGGATTGCGAATGTGCATGTATTGGGACATGTACAGTATGCAATGTGACTTACACATGAACATGATTGTTCACGCGAGACACGTGGTCAGCTTTACAAGTACATGTCAATGTACATGATTGTACATGAACACAAATGGTTCCATGTATTTTAAAGAGGTTGTGGAATGCTCGAAGACATTTCTGTCATTTTTCGGGTATATGTAGCCTAAGGTGTGATGAAATAAAAACGACTATTGTTTCTGTCATAAAATGAGTACAAAAGGTACTTTTGAGAGCTGTTTTTCAAGTCCTGTCATTCCTGTTTCGACCCGAACGTGCAATTTGTGTAAAAGTCGTCGTCGCGGGCAGCAAACAAAACACAGTAAATCGTGACGTAATAAACAGGACTCCCGATGCAGAGTAGCATATACGAGTCCTGTTTATTACGTCACGATTTACTGTGTTTTGTTTGCTGCCCGCAACGACGACTTTTACACAAATTGCACGTTCGGGTCGAAACAGGACCTGAAAAACAGCTCTCAAAAGTACCTTTTGTACTCATTTCATGACAGAAACAATAGTCGTTTTTATTTCATCACATCTGAGGCTACATATACCAAAAAAATGACGGAAATGTTTTCGAGCATTCCACAACCTCTTTATATACATTGCACATGAGTTCATTTACATGTATGTAGAACGTTAGCAATTTATAATGTAGATTGGATCCATTTGTGTTATGTATGTGGCATTATACATGTATGTGTTCACTTGGCATGCATGGTGGTGTACATGTACACATGTACATTAGTATAACATGTATAATGTACCTGCCACGTTCACATGAGGTACATGTACTTGTAAAACATGTATCCCAATTGCCACGGCACATTTTCCATTTACATGAACATGTCATAAATCAGCACTGTACTTTGTGAATTATTCAGGTTTCCAGGTTGTGCCTTTTTCATACGAGCATACGGTACATGTCGATCATTTGAGACAAAATCAATTTCAAAATGTTCAGGTATTCCAAGTAGCTCTTTGCATGTACGTACAAGGCTCTGACAATTTTTCTAGTGGAAATCTTTGCCTATGCAAGCTGTTCGAAACTGAAGAAAAAAAATAACTTCTGGATCTTTGGGCTTTTTTAAATTAATTTTTAAACATAGCAAGGTTATTAAGTATGGAAAAATGTAATCAGAAATTTGAGTTAAAAAAAGAGATACTGCGTTGTTTTTTCCTTATTCATCAAAATTCAGCAAACCATTTTTGTCCATGCCATTTTTTTTATCGGAGTTTGCGCATTCTGTTGGTTGTGTTCAGAAAAAATATCAAACAAATATTTTCACACTCGTGCAGTGGAAAGAATAATTTCATTCAGTGACAGCTGGAATGTTCCATTCCACTCAACCTTGCCTCAAGGAATGGATCGTTCCATCTGTCACTTCATGACATTACTCTTACCATTGCACTCATAATCGTTCATTATTTTGTGTACTATTTTGTGTGTGTTTGTATATCCATTAGAGTGTTGTCTTACGCTTGCGGCATTTATTTGGTTTTTAGCTTGTTTGCATGTGTGTAACGTTTATGCTAATATATATCACAATCCAGGCGCAGCTTTTTTTTTTCTCCTGAAAATATTCATGTTCTGAAATGTTCGAAAGTTTTCCTGAAAATTCCCAAAACAAAATTGTCCTCTTTTTGTCAGAAAGTTCAAATTTTCTGGAAAATTAGGTGCTTAAACACGTTTAAAATTAGATATAATTTTTTTGTTTTCAGACCTAGGTTCTTCCTTTTCAAAAGTTCCACTTAAAACCAAACTATTTTTTTTCCTTTGGAGTCTTCGCAAAGTATTTAATAATTATTTCATGTTTTGGATATTTAGGGTTTGCGGTTCAGGGTAAACATGCAGACAGAGCCTATCCAAGTAACAATAAAGTGAGAATTTAAAGGGCCATGAGATGAATTTTTCTTAGGAACACATTTTGTGCGACTTTCTACTCCTCTTAAACTATTTGACCTTCCTTTTTGGTTAATGTTATTGAAAGTGCACTTCTTTAAAAGAATTTGTAAAATTTCCATGCTTTTCCGGACACCTGAGGGCGCTGTTGCTGTGGTGTCATCTAAGGAAGACACTGTTAAGTTTCGGGATCTTCTGTTCAAATTATGAACCCCAAAATTTGCTCATTGAAAACACTTGTGAGAAAAGTTAACATGTACTCATTGGTGTACTGCCATGTACCGACATAACAACGGATCAATAAAGCAAAGAAAACATACAACAGCAAAATTACCAAAATTCTGGCTACTTTTGATGCTGGAATAGCTGTAACTCGGGTTTCTGCCTGAAATGACATCGCACTTAAGCTCATGAATATGGAAATTTGCATTAGCATAAAAATCAATAGGCATTAAAAAACCTTCAAAATGGCAAAACGAAAATTGAAAATATGTCGAATGGGACACAAATGTGCATTTTCAAGGATTACATTAAAAAAATAACATGGTATGGGCCCTTTAACTTTTTTGTAACTATCTTTTTAAAGTTCAAGAGAAATATATATGAATTCCTTAATGTGTGCGAAACTGGCAAGAGGCATACTTTATATTCATCGCTTTGTATTGTACAGTGTTTATTATTTTATATCCCTATAAATATGTTGCTACTGGGCTTTCTGTATTAAACTATGTCGTTTTCAATTGTATCATTTTTTCATTAATAAAAATCTCAATAGCCAGATTTAAAATGCCAGGTGTGAAGTTTATGGAGTTGTTATAGATAATATACGTTTGCTTTTGTTGTAATTTTCAGAAATGGATGAATTTAGGGGTTAGCAAATATTGTTGCACCGACCTGTTTAAGGCTTTGTGTCCATAGATGCTGGAAAAACCAAGGAAAAAAATGTTGTTCTTGTAGTTTGGTTCCCTGACCCTACTTCAGACAAAGCAGAACAATTTATAGATGTCGGGGAATTGCCAGGTAAGGGAACCAGACTAGCTAGCTTGCACCCGTTCACGGATGTGTAACCGATTGCAAGCAAAATGTGGACTAACTAAATTTGGGAAAGTGGGGGCAGTATTTTTAAAAGTCATTTTTTTTTTCCAATGATGGTCAGCTGACCATCGTTGGAAATTGATACAAAAAGTCCACTTTTCTTGAAAATGACAGCACACCAGGTGCCATGATGTTACTGGATGCTTGAGACTCTTATCCACTTAAGTCAAGTAAGGTATTTTTTAATAATTTGGTGGTTTTGTTTTTGGATGTTTGCAAATGTCGTATACATGTATTACCTTTAAGCGCATACTTTCGCTAAGTATGGAAAATATTTGCTCACCGAAAACCGGTAACCCGGTCAAAATGTCATGCAATGTCTATTGCGAATGACCGGTTCACGGCGGATTTTGGCCGAGTGGATAAATCTACTTACAAGAATATCTGGCTAGTAGGCCTTTGAAATTGTAGAAATCAAAAATAAATTTCGAAATTTATATTAACATTTTAGCGGGGATGGTAACAGTTATGAGAATTGTTTATTGGGGGTTTTTTATACGTAAAAGAATATTTAAAGAATTTTTTACAGAACCTAATATTAACCACATTAAAGTAAGGTGGTAGCAACTTGGTTTTTGTGAAGTGAAATGTCGCTTTTTAAAGACCAAAATAAAATGTAAGATTTTCCTGATTTTACATCAAAAATGTGGCACTATTACTGTTTTACTGTTAGCCTACACATTACTATTTTTTTAATTTCAAAAGGAAACCTGATCGTAGTAAAATGATCTTTTTTAAATTAACAAATTATTGGTAATATTTCGGTAATTCGGTAGGCATTTTGCAGTGATGTTAAAATTTCTGTACGCTGCATAAATTGAGGAACATGTAAGAAGCAAGGTGTCATGTATGGTTGAGTTTTATACTAAAATAATGCACAAAGAATGGTTTATGTGTAAATAAAGACGTCTACCGTAGTTGATATTTGTCTGTGCAGTGTGATGTTGTGTTGCATGGGAGTATTTCTCACAACTCAAAAGAAACAAAACTGTTTTATACAAGGCCCTAGTAAATCCTCGTCATCTGATTGGTTGGTCGTTGATCACGTGTCATTGAATGATTGTCCAATGAGAAGTTCCATTTCACGGTCTCAATAGTTTGCAATCAGACAACGAGATTTTTCAGGTGTGTATCCAACAAATAATAAATGTTTCACATTCGTGCAATGGAAAGAATAATTTAATTCCATTTTGTCCATGACAGCTTTACAAACAAATTTCCATTTCACTCGGCTTTGTCCTGTGGAATGGAACATTCCATCTGTCGCCTCATGAAATTATTCTTACCATCATGACCATTGCACTCATAAACATTCATTATTTGTATGTGAAGTCAAAATGCTTGAAATTCATTCCTTACATGTAATCATATTGAGGGAAATATAGGGCTGGGATTTTACTGGTATTTTTCAATTTTGGGTGCATATTTTGAACAATGCTGCTCAATTCTTTTGCCATAATTGTGCAGTGAATGATCACCCACACATATTTCATGGTTTTATGGGGCCGTATCATAATTCGATGCTTCAAAGTTCCGACGCCTCATAAGACCAAAATTTCTGACTTATGAGGCGTCGGACTTACCTGTATGAAGTATACATTCCACCTCATAGGTCTGATGCCCCATAAGACAGACGCCTCATAAGTCTGACAATGGACAAACGCCGTTTCTGACTTATGAGGCGTCGGACCTACATGTATGAGGCGTCGGACTTATGAGCGGACCCCGTTTTCAGCCGCCGTTAACTGCAGAAAGCAGCTCAAGAAATGACCGTGTCTCTCCGTTAGTTATTTCATTAGTAACAAACGTCAGCACATGCCTTTTATGGCAATCAATCACGGCAGTCAATCACCTTGCCCCTTAGGCCCTGGCAACAGCACCCACTTCAGGTTCATGGCCAAGTGTTGTGTTGCCACACTTTCATAGGTCTCTACTGACCAGCTACCGATTTATTATAGTAGTGGAAAATTGGATCACTGAAGTCAAAAACCAGATGTTTGTACTGCCCCAGCTTCCGAGATAATTTCAAGCTTGTTTTTTTTTTTCAATAAGCAATTGAAACAAGAATAACCAGATTCATGTTAAATAAAGCCAACGAAACAATTTTTGATGTAGTATTTCTTATTTTTTATTTTTAAATTTTTGTTTCCGTGTTCATGACAATTTACAATACAATTCGAATTCTCCACGACATAAACTACTTACATGTAATTATTGCATTTTTAGTATTTCTATTTCTTTTCATTACATGTTTATTAGGATACACAATACACACAAAGTACATGATTCGCGTGTATCGAAATATTTACAAGATGCAAGGTTTCTGTAGCTTGACCAACACATTAAATGTAACACGTTGCGAGTAAATCTGCATACATATACATGTAAAGGGGATTGAATTGCTTTAAATTGCGAGCTACATTTGAATAAAATCTGGAACGCTGACTTAATCCAATGCTTTGCACGTTTTAACTTCGCATTTTCCCAACCAAAGAGACTGTTCCTATATCACGTGATTCAAGGCAAGCCTTATGCTAGCAACCTCCGGCTCCGGAATGGTGTGGTGTCTTTTTGCCATTCTCACCCATTGTGAACAATGTATTGGTGCTGAGCGTCTCTTACGCAACTATGCAAGAGCTTGCCCCGAATCATGTGATTAGCAACAGTGTCTTTGGTCTGGAGAATTCAAGTAAGTCAGTGTAGGCCTACCAGATGTTTTTCAAATGTAAATCCCAAAGGGTATATAGGTTACTTGCAAATGGCTTATTGTCAAGCAGACACAATTTGACATTCACTGAAATTCAAGGAAATTTTATGGTAAGATTTCAAGCGCTTGTGAAAAAGTATGCAAGCCGTGAGACTCAAACCTACAACCTCCTAGGCCCATTTCACAGTGCTTAATAGCCCCATAAATGTGACCGATTTAGTGGACTACCTCCGTAAATATAGGCCACACAGCCACCATCTTAAGTGCAATGGAGTACACGAAGAAGGGTGAGCATCAGGCGTAATTCGCACAATACATGCGCAAACCAGTACGTACGTGTTCTACATATATAACCCCTGAGGACCGACACACAAAAGGAGAACAACATCCTTTCAGTCCTCGGGAGTTTAGTCTTTTGTTGGAAATGGTCCTCTGTAGTAAGTTTGTGTGCTTAGTCTATGGGAGAGTGTTATATTACAGGGACAAAGGGAAACACAAAGCAATGTCCTCGAGAGTAAAGCAAAACAAGAGTTGGTGTGTCCCACAGTGTGTCCCATCCACTTGGTTCGCAAAAGTGATCAAAAAGCGCCCTCTGTTGTTCGCCACGGAGCCCACAGTCTTGTGTGGAAGATAACCCTCACCGTCAAAAAGTCAAAGATCGTCCAACTAACAGCGTGCTTCCCGCAGCTGCTGCATGACGGTGTCTAGCTTCATGGCGACTCCTCTGTCGCCCTCTACCGTCAGTTTGCTTGCCATGTAGGCGGCGTAGGGTCGGAGCTGGCCCGTGAACATGGCGTGTAGGTCAAAGGTCGTAGTGGTGAGAGTAACATCGGGTGTGTCTGGTGGCTCGCCCGAGCCTGCGTCCCCAGACCCTAAAATCGGGGGGAAAAGACGGCAAAACATAAAAACTAAAACCTTTCTTTTTTTAATGTCAGTACAATAGGGCTTTCTCACTGACCCAGCCTACATCCGGGTACCGGAAAGTCAGCGTCGCCATTGTAGTAGGCAAAGATCGTATAGCGCCCTGCGCAGTAGGTCGTAGGCAAGCCGTCAAAGCTGTGATGGATGGCAACAACTGTGAGAAAAATGCAGAACCAACACCCAGTGCTGGGTCGGCACGATTATGACAACCGTACACGGCACAGGCAGTGACCATTATGCCATTTGATTAAGAAGTGGCAGTTATTTTACTTGAAAATAAGCCCTGTCGGGTTTACAACACACGACGTGGTTGCAAACCAAAACGCTTGCCTACTGCAATGGTGGCCGAGCACGGGGAAACCGGTTGGTCACGTGGTACTTTGACGTCATACAATTGGAACCTATTCAATGATAATTTTGAATCCTACTTTTAACATTTCAGACACGTAACTCATTTGTATCTTGAAAATCAAAGCAGAGAGTATTTACTTGTTCACGTTGAATTTAAAATTAGATCAAGTGTTCAATCGTATCAGTATTGTGTGAGTTCTTAGAGAAAGTCTTGACTACACTACAGGGTGAGTTTAAAAAAGCGGAACCCAAACCCCAAACAATATATTTCATATTTCAAAAATATGTAGCACCAAAAATAATAATGACTGGAAAGCCAATTTCAGAAATTGCTTTAAAGGGAAAATACAACATTTGCAAACATCAAAAAATAAAACTACCAAATCATTTTGAAATACCTTGCTGGACTGTTAGTGAATGACAGTGTAAAGCATCCTGTAAAATCATGGCACCTGGTATACTGTCATTTTCAAGAAAAGTGGTATTTTTGTATCAAAACTGGGTTTTTTTTCAAATACTGGCCCCAATTGACCATCGCACTTGTTTGCAATCGATTACACACCTATGAACGGGTACAAGCCAGCTAGACTGGTTCCCTGACCTTACAATTCCCCAATGTACGTAAATTGCTCTGTTTCTTCTTAAATGGAGTCAGGGAACCAGACTACAGGAAAATGGTTGTTTTTCTTGGTTTTTATAGCATTTTTGAACCAAAAACCTCAAAGAAGTCAGTGTAACTATATTTGCTATATATTTCCAACCCCCCAATTCCATCCATTTCTGAAAATTACAGCAAAAGCAAATGATGTATATTCCCTTTAAGATGGCAAAGTTACTGAAATTGCTCAATCGGTTCAAAGAATATCACCATTTAAACCTAAAACGCAATGACCCTAAAACCTGTTTCGTAAAAAAAAGCAGTTTAGTGTATTCTGACTGTTTGGAACGACAAAGAAAATGACACAGAATACTTGTTTCAACAACTGTCAACAACTGTAGTACACAATATCTTTATTAACAGCCCTGGTTAGGCAAACAATATGATTTATAAAAATCCACTTTTGTTAAAAGACAGGCCCTCGAAAGGACTTTGTTGAATATTTTTTCGCTTTTAAAATGAGGATTTATCGCTGGTGATGTTTGAAGACAAGTGTGACGACGATTCTTGAAATCGCATTTTTGGATGAAAGAGGTTTTAGGGTCATTGCGTTTAAATGGTGATATTCTTTGAACGGATTGAGCAATTTCAGAATTGTTTTCATCTTAAAGTAGCTTATGAAATTGGCTTTCCAGTCATTATTATGTTTGGTGCTACATATTTTTAAAATATGAAATATGATTTTTGGGGTTTGGGTTCCGCTTTTTTTGACTCACCCTAAACTAGTCGAGGTTCTATAAATGGTGCCCCCCCCCCCCCAAGCCCAACTCAACTTACCGTTCTTCAAATCCAGGAAGAACGTGCCCCCGTTGCTTCCAGTCACCACAAACTTGTAGACGGCCCCGACGTCTGCCACGAGCGCCTCGTTCAGAAATGGCTTGACGGACGAGAGGAGCTCCTGGGGCGTGACCATGGGGGTCTGGGTCGCGCCCCTCGGGGGTGAAGGGCGGGGTTGGGAAGGGGGTAACAATGCTGTCATGAGGGCACTAGGCGGGGTCGACATGTGGGCTAGGTTGGGCATGGCTGTTGATGAGATGACGACATAGAAAAAAAGTTGCGATTATTATGAAGCTTTTTCTACTGTCAAAAATTTGAAGAACAAGCAAAGTCAATCAAAGACCACGTGTTTGAGTACCGGTTCATTTGTGACGTATGTTGCGCCTGTGCTCCAATGTAAAAGTGTGGATGTCCCAAATGATGTAGGGCTGTGCGCTCCGTGCACAAGTACCCCCTCAACGGTAAGAAAGAGAGAGTTGGAGGAGACCACTGGGAGAGACATTCGACGCCTGAGACTCACGCAAAGACGCTATGGCTTTGTGCACATTCAGCATAACAAAAGTACTTTACGCTATACGCTACTGTGTGTTCCTTCTACTGGGGTCTCGAATGTCTTAAAAAAGCGCCCTCTCTTGTTTGCGCACAGAGCCCATAAAGGGCTTTATACTAATGTCTCAAAGCGCTTCACAATTTTTGCCCCTGTTCATATAAGGTTATGAGATCAGGCTGCGACAACTATTCAAGATCAGCGCGATTTGTTCTCTACTCCTAGGTGGAGAGAGTCAATTGGGGTAAAATGTCTTGCCCAAGGACACAAGCACTATGATCCCCTTAACATAACACATCACGCTTGCGTTGGGACACCCTGGTAGTGTTGTGGGTCGGGTTGAAAGGCCAAAACCGACCCGAAACATTGAACATGTAGATATAAACCGAATCCGAACCGAAACTGATATGAACTCCCTAAAACCGACCTGACCCGACATAAAAAACAAGGAAAACCGAACCGACCCGAAACCGAAACGACCCCCCAAAAAAGAGAATACCTGGCTTGGGCAACTGCGTGGTTTTTGTGCCTGAACTTACCCGTGTCGCGTGAAAATGGTCCTCTCTCAGCAACTGAATCATACCGTACGGCACTCGCAACATGACCTACTGGTGGGCCTACATGTTATAGACCGTGCGTGACCATTTAGGTCGAACCGAAAAACAGTGACTCTGCAATAAATATTGCACCGTGTGAATTTCCAGACTCTGTTTTTATTTTTTAGTTTATTTTGGTTCATTCTGGATTTTTCCAAAATGGCTTAACTGATCCGACCTGACCCGAAAATCACAAATGCAAAACCGAAACCAACCCGACCTGACTGAAATGATGGACAAACCGATCCGACCTGACCCAAAGTCAGTTTCGGTTCGGGTCGGTTTTGGTTTTGGTTGGGTTTGCACAACACTAAACCCTGGTAGTACACCAACGTTAGTCCCTTAAAGGAGCACTAGGTCCTGAAATCCCTGGAAATGGTATGTTTTGGATTGTTTACCTAGCCTACATGTATTTCAAACATCTGGTTGAAAGGAAACAAACCTAATGTCTTACCGTTCCCGAGAAAAGACGAAAAAAACCCGCTTGTTTACATCGGACATGACGGAGTACGAATACGTTTTTCATGTCGTTCTCAGTGTACGATATACACGTTGTGTGTCTCGGTAACAGCGGTGACCAATCACGAATGCAAAAAAAAAATGGTTTCTTCAACGTCCGCAAAAGGCGAACACTTTACGAATGAAATCACAACTAGCATCCAAACAGCTCGAATTTATGGGGTCGCAAAAGTGGACCCTGAAATTCGTTCTTGCACGCATAACACAGGAATAACACAAAAACGCCCAGTTTTGAAAGGATAGTTGTATGGATGTTTATATCCTACTTTTAAATGTTATTTCCGATAAACAATTGGGCTGTTCCAGGACCAAGTTTCCCTTTAATACCCAACTACGCAAGAGTTGTGCTAGCAAGTACAAGCTTACGTGAGTGCTGGCCGGAGATGAGCTGACTGAAGATTGTGCCCAGTTTGTCCAGACTGACCCCGTCCACTGCTTCCTGGACGACGGTCACTTGCGACCTGACCGGAGGGGAAAAGAATAACATGACAATTGTTCCATGTAACAACCAATTCAAACTCAACATGAGTGTCCCTTGGGTGTATAGTTTTGTACTAGTAACCTCACTGCCATGGCACGAGCGTTGTAGACATGTACTACATGTATCCATGCTATATTTCACTGTACTTTTACATGTAATAGGTGACTATGAAAAGGACTTGAATTCAACACTCACTTAACAGTTCTACCTTGCTGAACCCCCCCCCCCCCACCAAGTTGTCAGTCTTATAGTCCCTCGGGGTGCATAGTTGTGCTCTAGTGACCTAACTGCCAGTCAATATGTGTATATATACCATGCTACATTTCAGAATATTTGACTGACTAGGAAAAGGACTTCAACACAGACTTAACAGTTCCACCTTGCTGACCTCTTCCCCCCCCCCCCCACTCCTTGGGCGTAGTCCCTTGGGTTAATAGTTGTGCAATAGTAACCTCACTGCCAGTCAATATGTGTATATATACCATTCTATATTTTAGAATATTTGACTGACTGTGGAAAAGGATTTCAACACCGACTCACAGTTCAGCCTTGCTGACTTCCACGCCCACAGTTGTTAGTTGTAGTCCCTCCGGTGCATAGTTGTGCACTAGTGACCTCACTACCAGTCAATATGTGTATTTATACCATGCTTTATTTCAGAAAGAGTTGACTGACGAGGAAAAGGACTCCAACGCAAAAAGGACTTCAACGCGGACTTACAGCTCAACCTTGCTGACCTCCACTCTGCAATAGTCGTGCACTAGTGACCTCACTGCCAGTCAATATACTATACCATGCTATATTTGAGACTATTTGACTGACTAGCAACGGGACTTACAGTTCCACCTTGCTGACTTCCACTCCCCAGTTGTTAGTCGTAGTGTTCATCTCCTCCCGTATCAGTTGGTTCATCACGTTCATGTCATTCTCGATGGACTTGAGAGAACGCGGCGTCAGTGTGTTGAGTAGGATGGTCTGGGCCAGCATGCGGGTGGAGTGGTTCAGGTCCTGGACGCTGGCAATGGAAAGGGAGACGTCCTTGGTGCGGAAGTAGACGGTGGCGCCGATGGAGATGGCTGCGCCGTCCGCTGTGATGAACTGTGATGAGTTGTAAGCATGGTAATCGCAAGTCATCATAAGGTTATCACAAGTCAATCATAAGGTATCACATGTCAATCATAAGGTATGAAAAGGCAATCATAAGTTACCTTGTTTTTCATGAGACAGTTACGAGTCATAAAGTATCACAAGGACATCATAAGATATCACAAGTCAATCAGCTATCACAAGTCAATCATAAGGTATCACAAGTCAATCGTGAGGTATCACAAGTCAATCATAAGGTATCATAAGTCATCGCAAGTCCTTGCAGGCTACGTTAGTCATCACAAAGTCGATTACACATGTAAATATCAATTAAAGTCCATCACAAGTAAATGACAAGAAATGACAAGTCAATCTACATGTAAGTCCATCTCAAGTCTGCAGGTTGTGGGTTCAAGTTCAGCCTGGGGTCATGGTGCGTGTGCCCTTGGGCAAGGCACTTTGTCACTCATTACTTCTCTCCATCCAGGAGTAAATGGGTACCTGTGAGGGCAGAGATTGTTTTTGTGATTGATTCAAGCTTCCTTGCGCCTAATAGGCAGCACCAAGCTTTATACTCCCCAGGGAGCTGAGATTGTCTTTGGAATGTTTAATTGGCCCAATGATCAGGGGTAATAATATTGTAAAGCGCTTTGATCTTAGTTAAAAGCACTACATAAGAACTCGTTATTATAATTATTATTATTTTAAGTCAATCAAACATAAAATCCATCACAAATCAATCAGATGTCAATCCTAGTCCATCACAACTCAATCAAATGGTATCACAATGCATCACAAGTCAATCACAATGCATCGCAAGTCAATCACAATGCATCACAAGTCAATCACAATGCATCACAAGTCAATCACAATGCATCACAAGTCAATCACAATGCATCACAAGTCAATTACAATGTGTCACAAGTCAATCACAACGCGTCACAAGTCAATCACAATGCATCATAAGTTAATCACAATGCATCACAAGTCAATCACAATGCATCACAAGTCAATCACAAAGCATCACAAGTCAATCACAACGCATCACAAGTCAATCACAACGCATCTCAAGTCAATCACAACGCATCACAAGTCAATCACAATGCATCACACAAGTCAATCACAAGGCAATCACAATGTATCACAAGTCAATCACAAGTCAATCACAATGCATCACAAGTCCTGACCAACCTGCTGTGGGGGCACGTTGAAGGCTCTGGTTCTCATGTCAACCCGACGCCACTTGTCGATGAACGGCAGAACTATCACCAGGCCTGTATGGGAATCACCACAAGACAGATGAGAATATGTTATCACCTCTATGCGCAAACTAAAGAGGGCGGTCTTTCCTTACTTCAAACATCTGCCACTATTTGACAAAAATGAAATGACAGTCACAACAGAAGGGCGCTGAATACCACACAATTTACCCAAACAAAATGATGCCCTAAAATTGCAGTGTAAAAATCCTTCAACTTTGGGTTTTGCCTTTTTTTTCAAAATGGTTTTCTTTTTTCATGATTTTATTATTTTTAACATGTTTAAAGTTAAGATTTAATAAGGGAATAAATGTGTGCTCGAGAGGTTTTTATCACTCTGTTTAAGACCGCTTAGAGTCTGGGTGCTGATAATTACCCGAGCCGGAGGCAAGGGTAATTATCAGCACCCAGACTCTAAGCGGTCTTAAACAGAGTGATAAATACCGACCGAGCACATATTTATTCCCATTCATACCTTTTTGGTATAAAAAATCAAATAATTCGTTCAAAAAATCCTGATTTTGTTCAACAAGTTCACTTCATGCTTTTTAAACACCCCTCTAGCAAAATAATGGAGTGTTCAGCTGGCGAGTAAGATATAAACAAGATTGACGCGCGCGTAGCATGTTCTGCGCGATGTCGCGCAGAACGCACCTGGGGCGTTGCGTGTTGAATTTAGAACTATAAAATTCTGACTCGCTGGTAGTGTTGCGCATGCCTACGAGAGGATTGTGAACGTTCAACCCATAAAACGGTAAGAGGCACCGGATTTTTAGGAGTCCACATTTTATTGTGACACTGGAAAAGTGTTTAAGACCAGCTAGCCATGTCTTTATCATCCGTTTAAGACCGGCCACGTGACGGGCTCTTGACCAATAGGAATAGCTAAACTGTCTGAGGTATTTATGAATTATTTGTAAAGTTAAGCTTTACAACCCTAGGAACAGAGAGTTTGTTCTATTTACCTGGTCCCTTTGGTTGTTGCAGTCTTCCAAGTCTGAAGACCACTATCCTCTCGAACTGTTGGACCATCTGATAAAGATAATGAGTGGAATTTGACAAAGGGAAAGATACAAGTATGAAAACCAAGGGTGAATCACCTGGGGGGGGGGGGGGGGGGTTGTGCCAGGGGGAGGGGGACAAAAGGGCTCTTCAAGTGGCCTGATTTGAGAAAACTTTGGTTAACAGTAAGCCGAAAAGTTGTGCTAACTATAGCAGAAAACTTTGCTGACGTTGAGCACTAGTTCATGGCGTGGATGTGGTAACGGTTACGCACGCATGGAGATTTTCATTGTAACGTCACTGATTTAAGCAACTTTTTGCTCTAAGGTAAGCGTGATGTTTCTGTGCTTAATGCTTACAGACTCCATGAAATAGACGGAGGCTCTGTTAGCAGTAAATCGTGAGCTTAGCACTGCAGCGCCATGAAATTGGGCCCTGTGCCCAATGTACGTACACTCACTGCTGTCTCTGAGCTTGTAAGAACAAAATATAGCAAAGAAAGAAAACAGCATACGATGTATATTCTTAAAAGTTTCCTAATTTACAGAGCATTTTTACTCTATAAAGTCAACATGGCCACTGTGAATTCATGATCAATGCCAAAATTATGAAACAATGAACCCAAAACGTGAAATGCTTCCCACATGAAGATACAGTTAAACATTCTCTATGCAACCTACCGGTACCTGAAGAGAGACCAACATGTATTTAATGAAGAATTCCCAGCGCGGGAAAAATTACCGCAAATCGCCCGGAGCGATTTTTTGGGGGGTCCCAATCGCTGAACCTGCAGAACAAAACTTAATTTGTCTCACTCGGTACGAGAACCCCATACTCCCTGGAGAATAGTTTTTTTTCTGTTTTTCAGTGGATGGAGACGTGTCTTTAATACTGATGAAGACTCAACCAAACGGATATTACCGCTATGCACGGACGGTACGGAGCGTGTACGGTTAACGTGGTTAATTGGACGTTTCTACTCGAATGCTTAATTACTTTAATCTTGAGTGGGTCGGTGGGGCTGCGAGCTGTCGTTCCTGGGTAGCTTGCAATCTGTTACCTGCTGTGAGATGTGTTAAAGTGTCCTTTGCGATTGAAAATCTTAAAGTTCCTCAGATCTTAAAGGTATAATCCATCATTTGTAATTTGTACATTTTGTTCATTTGAAGCAACAAAAGTGCTCAAAATCTAAAGAAGGGTGCTGAACAACTAACCTGATGAACTTTCAGCTCAGCTTCAGCTGTATTTCGTGAAAAACAACATTCTAGGATCTCCATTTCAACTCAAAAGTTGCTGAATCATGTTTTGAATTGGGCCAGAATTCAGCGTCCGAGACACGTTCTCACTAGCCAATTGCAGCTACGCGATGTCGCGCACCGATCCAACGAATTATAGCAACCACGCGCGCGTGTGCGTCATGTCAACGCTTGCGCGCGCTTCGCCGAATAAAAAAAACAAACTACTAACGGAAATTTCCAACGGTGCTTCTTAAGATGCACCGTTGGAAAGGCCATCTTTCGTTGATTTCTTCAAAATGACAGCTTGCCAGAAAGAATAATTTCACAGGGAGTTTAGTCCTCTTACTATCTTTCGACCAAGTATGTTTTTCAACAGTAATTACGCCAGGTACTTTTTGGATAGCTGCAAATGATGGACTCTGGCTTTAATTCTTTCTTTCTCATTTTCACTTGAGGCATAAAAAGGAATGACTTCATAATCTAGAGAGACTGGATACTTAGAGTGAAGTCCAAAAATACAGGGTTGAAAATACATTATCAAATGATTTTTTTTGCACTTATTAGGCCATTTGCCAGAAAACGTTCACATTTGCCAAGACAGCATCAACATTTGGTGCTTTAGATTATTTCTTACTTGTAATTCCAATGTCCACGTCTGGGTCACAGAATATATCCACATACACTTCAATGACTTACATTTATTTTTGTTGAAATCCGACGTGGGCGTCATAAGTTCTATTGTTTTGTCTATGTTTCAAGCAGTGGATAAAGTTGATAACGATCCAATGGCCCATCAGGCCGGCGTTTACAATGTATCTCCATTTCCTTGGCATGAAACGACTGTGAATATTTCTATTTCCCCCTGGACGGGATGCTAGTCCATCACAGGTTACTCCCAAGCTAATGCCGGCACCCATTTATACTCCTGGGTGGAGAGAGTCAAGTGGGGTAAAATGGCTAGCCCAAGGACACAACGTATGACCAGCAGCCATGGCAGCGGCAATCGAACCCCTGACCCTCTGATCATGAGTTACAAACCCTAACCACTAGGCCACATTCCCCTACGAATCATGAATTACTGAAAAATTCCTTGGAAGACATAAAAAAAATTGCAATCATTTGATAAATTTGTAATAAGCTTTTGTTATTAATTAGACCTCAAATTTATTCAGTACAGACCTTGCAACAATGATAGGGATTGACAGCACACGCTTTGAAATGGCTTCTGCCTCATTTCTCACTCAAAAAAACAATCCCGATTTCAATCATTTTTCTCGGGCGTACAACCAGTGAACATAGCAGCGTCTTATGCCTGATCAGTCAATTTCTGTTTTAATCAAGAGCTCATACATGTTATATGTACTGTATGTCTGACTTCATCCCCCCCCCCCCCCCCCCCCCCCCCGAATGAAACACAACGCCCGAAGCCACACAAGAAATAAAACCCACCGATGCAATGTACCCGATGGCCACATCTACGGGTTATTCAGATCAGTGATTGTCGCATCAGGCCTTCCACTAAAGAAATCTTTGAGTCTGACCGTCATGCTTTTTAATTAAAGTTCTCCGAGCCCTCAGGAACGAGACGAATGCCCACACAAAAAATGGAGCACGCAGGGTAGACTAGTTTCCGCCCCTATCAGAATCTATGTTGGGCAAATTTGTTTATGCGCAAAAGCAAACCAAAGTTTTCTTAACCCTCCTGCTATGTAAACAGTCACAGACAGTCAAAAATGTCCATCCATTTCCCCTGCTATACTTTTAACACAGGCTAGTCACCAACAGTCAGATCATATTTCAAGCAAGCACTGTGACTAGTCAAAGTCAGTCAGCAGACCATGAACAGACAAAGCAGGCAAGTTGTGGGCACAACTGGCTTATCAATTACCCACAGCTAAAGCAAAGCTGTATCAAGTTGCATGTACATAAACAGTCATAGCCAGTCAATCCTGCTTTACGTAGGCTGGGAATTCTTAACTGTTGAAAACAGTCACTTAGTTGATTTTGACTGAAAGGACTACTTGGCAGAGAATGTATGTTTGCATAGGAGGTTTAATACAGTGTAGCAGAAGACTTTAAAAGTAAAAACAATGAAGTTGTTTCCGTAAAGAAAAGCATGTACAAAGTAGAAAATGTGTCACAAGGAAAAAAGGAATTTGTTCTTTTAAGCAAAGACAAAGACGATACAGATCTACACTTTGGCTAAAAAAAAAATGTCCGTCTGACTATTTTTGAAATAACTACTAAACCATGAGGCTAATTTTGAAAATTGTTGGCCTCAACCCCTATGAGTATCATTAAACTTCAGTCATGCATCACTACACAATTGTCAATTGATCACAACAACATTTTTGGACACTGTGAGCAAATTCCTTGCCTTAATCAATTTCAGTGCTGTGTTATATGTACATGTAAGCTGTGTAAAATCCTACATGTTGTGAAAAGGGCTGCGGTTGGGATTGGAATCATTGGCCTGGCTATCAGTCATCATGGCAAGACATCGGTTTAATTCTCAAGGGCAAATGATTCCAATCCCAAACCACATCAGCCTTTTTTCACAACATGCAGGATTTTACACAGCTTACATATAACGCAGCAATGAAATTGATTAAGGCGTGGAACTTGGTCACAAGTGTCCAAAAATGTTGTTGTGATCAACTGACAATTATGTAGTGATGCGTGACTGAAATTTAATGATACTCATCGGGGGTTGAGGCCAAGGCTTCGGAGTATCTACACAACCAAACATTTTCAAAATTGACCTCATGGTTATGTAGTTATTTCAAAAACAGTCAGACAGACACTTTTGGGGGGAACATAAAAGGCTTTCCACTCTGGAACCAAATTGTTTTTGCTCGACCTAATTCGAAACTTCTTTCAGAACCAACTCTTGATGTTTTATCTCACCTTGATTGCTAAGAATCCCGATATAGGAAACGTTAGGAAAACCAGGGCATAACCAAGAAAAACAACCACCGACGTACAGATGCGAGTCAATAGTGAAGGGGTGTACTCTGCAACAACAAAAAATGAAAAGAATCAAAAAGATCAATTTTTGTTTTTTTACTGGACTAGATAGTATGGCAGTGGTGCACACATGGGGGAGGGGGAAGGGGGTGGGGGAGACGAAAGGGGTGGGGTGGGGGTGGGGAAGGGGGTGGGGTGGGGAAGGGGTGGGGTGGGGGTGGGGTGGGGAAGGGGGTGGGGGAGGGAGGGGGAGAGAAGTGTTGTTGCAATAAAGCAAAATTCCGAATAGTTGTCAGAAGTTCTGAAGAGCATTTTCTTAAATTTACAAATTAACTCTGGAAATAGATTTCCCACAAGTTTCCTTTTTCATTAGAAATTATAAAAAGGATGAAGGGTTTCAAAAATTCTCTTGGGGAAAAAAATGCCAGCCTCTTCAGTCTATATATGTAACACCCTGAACCACTTGCCATGCATGTACGTGTACATGTATATTTAACAGTTCAACTTCATAGTGCGGCTATTTCTTTCAATTACTGAAAGCAATCAATTCAAATTCAATTAAGTTAACGGGTATCGATTGCACGGTGTGTCTGGCAATGAGGCAGGCAAGTGCGTGATTAAAGGCATAAGTACATGTACATACACTGTACATACATGTAAGATAATTGCCATGTATCCCAAAAGTAATTCACCGCATTATTGTCATAAAGCTTACATGTACTTGGATTCAACATCGTACTGGAACTAACCACCCGTGAAATTGTTCCGTCTGGCTTGCTGTCACTAAGAAGAAGTCAAGAAATGTAGGTACTTTCAAACGATCAGTCAACTGACTGATTTTTGGACATTGTAAAGAGTGCTTCAGACAAAATCCCGTTTCGCGATCAAAATGTGTGCACGATTTTTCTCTGTTTTCTCGAAAGGAGTAATATCCACTGAGCTGAAACTTCAACAGGTTAGGTTTTGACGAAAGATCTCGTTTGAATTCTGCGTAGTGTTATTCATGTTATCATTGGAAACAAACAAAAAGCATTAACAGCAAATGATCCTACATGCCTTTAAAGGTAGGCCCCTATAGTCCATCATTTGTAATTTGTGCATTTTGTTCGTTTGAAGCAACAAAAGAGCTCAAGATCTAAAGAAGGGTGCTGAACAACTAACCTGATGAAATTTCAGCTCGGCTTTAGATGTATATTTCGAGAAAAACAACATTCTAGGATCTCAATTTCAAATCAAAAGTTGCTAAATCACATTTTGAATTGGGCCTGAATTCAGCGTCAGAGACACGCTACGCGATGTCGGGCACTGATCCGACGAATTATAGTGTGCGTCGTGCCAATGCTAATTTGAATTTCCTACGCGTTGGAAAGGCCTTCTTTTGTTGATTTCTTCAAAATGACAGCTTGCCAGAACGAATAATTTCACAGGGAGTTTAGTCCCCTTACTATCTTTCAACCAAGTATGTTTTTCAACAATAATTAAGCCAGTTACTTTTTGGATATCATCAAGTGATGGACTCTCGCTTTAAGCAACAATTAAATCTAATAGGCCTACTAATCACTTACTTCTTTCTTCCTCTACGTACGGTGGCATGACCTTGCTGTAGGTGAATGCCGACTCGAAGTTGAACGGCGAGCTGAAGTCGATGGCCGCGCTGTCCTGCGACGCGGAGTCCCATTCCGACTTGGGCAGCCGGCTGTACTTGACCGACGAGGACCAAGGACTGGTTGACGTCATGGTGACGAACTGACGAAACAGTTTTCCCTTTCCAAAGGACGAATCCAGAGAATCTTAAGTTTCCAGTTTATAGATTTACAAACACTGATTCCGAGCTCACGGACGAAGTAACTGGGTTTTTTGTAACTCAATGGCAAAAAGGGACCTTTAATCGCAGTCGGTGCCCCGCTAGCACCGGTCACCTAGCACCGGTCACCATGTAAGCTACCAAAAACAAGTCCAGTGCACAAATTGTCAACGTGCAATAAATGCGTCCACTTTCAAAAAGTCTTTCACACACAGCTGTATTTCGAAGATGATAGTTGAAACGGACCTGCAGCGCACAGCAAAGCAATGTCTCAAAAAAGCTCAGCAACAACTTGCAAAAGATTGCCTTCAGTTCAGCAATTCAGCAAATTTTTTTTTTAGTCGCGTTCTAACTCAGATTGAATCCACCGTACGCTGCCTCAGGATCTTTTGATCCGCAAGTTGACAAACACTTTTTTCTTCCCGTTTAGATGCCGTCGCACAAAAACACATCCCCAATTTCATATGGCGAACAAGTCAATCTGTGAGCATCTACCGTCTAGCACACCGCTGTTAATGTCATGACGGCCGGTGCAAAACTGAGGAACGAAAATCAAACCGGACCTGGATTGCACAGAATTCAACGGAGCGTGCAAATATGTGTCGTCCAATCACAGAAAATGTATAGCACCTTTTGACGAGCCCCGTTTTCGTCGGCGACGTTTTAAGGACTATAATCGGATTTTATCCTCACAGTTTCGTGAAGACTGATGAGGTTCCACCAAATTATCCAGGATTGTGGGAGATCGTCGGCTAGTGTGTGTGATTGCAGTGGCTCTTCTGGGAATGGTTTCCCCCCTCTGGAGATATGGAAGCTTCCATTCACATGTAGGCGTGGTGCTAGGTTGTCAGACCAAGGAATAACAAAATATGATGATTTTTATCGTGTAGCTACATATCTGCAGACAAAAATAGAATTTGAGTAAAAAAGGGAAAACGATACAGGATGAATGATTAATGAAAAAAAAATTGTTTTATAAATTCATCTTTTCTATTATTGATAATAAGATTTTGAGATGGAAACATTTCAGGGCAGAAATGATCTGTGGGCAGGGGAACTTCCAATTTTGCTGAAATTTCATTAAAATTTGGGTGAATTATGCAGAATAAAAAAAAAAATTGGGAGCTGGAGACGAGTTGTCATTTTTGCCATCTTCATAAACAAGGCAATTAATTCTGTAATATCATACGTATGTCTGACTCTGACCACATGATGTGAGGTCGTTAAGTTGGTGGTACCTTATTCATTAGTTTTGTCTGTAATTGTTTTTTTTTCTCATTAGATGTCACATATATTTCAGTATCACATGTTTTCAACAGGGGCTCAAAGTGTCTGATACGTATACTTCCACATTTACAGAATCACCCAAATAATATTTTCTATGTTTTCTTTTATAAATTTGATCAGCATGCACTGCAATCGGCTCTGTGCGCAAGTACCCCTCTAAGCACGGTCGATCAGAGTTGTAACGAGTCACTGATTTTTGTGACTCAAGTCGAGTCGAGTCATTTTAAAGAAGTGACTCGAGTCGAGTCGAGTCATTAGGTCAACAAGGTCGAGTCAATTCGAGTCACAAATATTTGAACACTAAATTACAATAAAAAGCAATAAACACAAGAGAGAAAGAATACAAGGCACCAGTCTATTACGGAAATCCAAAGACATAAAGTATGCTGTATGGTACCCAACCAACAGTTTCCATTGCTAGCTCACGTCACAGAAAAGAAGATGTGAAACTTCGGTCTTATAACTGGTTTGGCTTCGGGTCTAGATTTTGTTGTTCGCTGATCGCTGACAACGTTAAGACCTAATTGCATTATACAAAACTGTTTCTGATTATTTAAAGGTGGGCCCGTCCGTATCCATTTTTTTGTGTGAAATCGGGACATGAATTTAGCCAGCGTTCCACCAAGAACTTCAAAATCGCCCGAAACCAATGATGAAACCACGGATTGAGAAATGCGTTTTAAGTCTGGTTCCGGGTTTAGCATTACATGCTATAGAACCACAAGGTGGGAGTCCGCGACACGGTGTATGTTTGTTGTTTCATTATGGAGGAAGGAAACAGACTGCCGCTGTATATAAACGTACATTATTCGCGAACATTAACGTGACGTGAACAAAAACTGGCAACGTGAACGGCGCAGCGTAAGTCATTGCAAATATTTTTCGCAAGTAAGTTTTGCTTTTATTTTGGGACTCGAGTCTTATTAGCCTTCCTCGAGTCGAGTCGAGTCATTCTGATGAGGGACTCGAGTCGAGTCGAGTCATTTGCTCGCAGTGACTCGAGTCGAGTCGAGTCATTTACCCGTCGGGACTCGAGTCGAGTCGAGTCGCCAAAAAATGTGACTCGAGTCGGACTCGAGTCGAGTCATTGACTCGAGTCATTACAACTCTGCGGTCGATGTATCGATATTATTCGATATTGGTTTGATATCCATATCGCCGATATCATTTCTTTAATATCGAAATATCGAAATTTCGATATTGAAGAATGATATCAAAAATATCGATATTGAGGGATGATATCGACAGTATAAAAATGCGTTAGATTATCGTCAAAATAAATCTCCCGTTTGTGGTTTCACCTTGTGTTTAACGTTTGTTGTATAATGGAATAAAAGTCGGCGGCAAATTGTGTTTGTGACTACATGTATGAGAATAACCCGTCGTGTTTGGGGTACACGACTTAATACATCCCCAATGCAAACAAGGAATCACTCTATCGTCCTCCATACGATATTTATGTACATGTACCAGGGGACCACAAAAATGAATAACAAATGCGACATTTCCTTGATTTTTTTTTTTTTTTTTAATTAACTTAACTCATTCATAATCGATATATCGAATATACTCAATATATCCGATTTCCGATATATCGATTATTGAAAATTCTGATATCGACGGTGCTTAACCCCCTCAACGGTAAGGAAGCTAGGGGGAGACCACTTAGAGTGGCATTTGAAAGTATTGCCGATGACACGCCCCCCCCCTCCATCCCAGCAACATCGTCTTGCCACGCAATTGCTATAATTCGTCGGATCAGTGCGCGACATTGCGTATAGCTGCAATTCAAAACAATTCAAAACATGATTCAGTAACTTTTGATTTGAAATTGAGATCCCAGAATGCTGTTTTTTCTCGGAATATACAGCTGAAGCTTAGCTGAAACTTCATAAGGTTAGTTGTTCAGTATCCTTCATTAGATTTTAAACACTTTTGTTGCTTCAAACGAACAAAATGCACAAATTACAAATGATGGACTATATCTTTAACGGCGCTTTTTCGTACAATCAACCTATCGTGCAAAACTCTTTCTGCACGATCGATCGATCACTCAAAGCCATTTCTGTACGATCGACTGATCGCTCAAATCTGTTCCAGAGCAATCGATCGAATATGCAATCCCACTCCTGCACAAGCGACCGATAACGCCCTTCCTTCCCAATCGAGCAAACATTTTATTGCACGTGCCTGATATTTGCCCTTTCGTAATAATGCGTCATTGTAATTGTATTACAATGTAATTATTTACTGAAAATTTATTAATAGGCCTACCATAGAGTGTAGAAATTTGCCCCTTCGTGAAAACTGCTAAAAAAATTAATAAGATGTTAATTTTTTGTATCAGCCAATCAGCATCAAGCTTTCATTGCATCGAGCTTTCATGTTTGCCATCTTGGTTTAATTTGAGTCAGTTTTCTGGTTGTCACCGTCGTCTTTTACCCCTTAATTTCCCTCATAAACCAAAGCCCTGCCCTCTTTCCACAAAATTAAACCTGCTGATATTCAAGAAGGTGTCACTGCCAATTGTTCAGATGTGTCAAGAAATATCAGAATGTCAATTTTGAGTGTCATTTAGTCAACTGTTTTGGTGAGTCTTTCCCTTATTAATTCTATAGGAACGGGGTCCTAAAACTAAGTAAGGATTACCATTACATGTATCAAGTCTGCAAAAAAAAACATGCAAGTGAAAATAGTTTTAAAGCAAGTACCGGTATCATCCGATGTTTTACTCTTGACAGAAACTGCACCCTTTCCTGAGTAGACGATCAAGACCGTAATCCCTCCTTCAATTGGGAAATCTCCGACTTTCCGAGGCGAGCTCCATCAAAACACCAAACAAACATGAGAAGATTAAGTGGAGCGAGAAATTAGCGCCCTCTGTTGATGGAATCCAGCTTCCTATGAACTTCGAACTTTTAGAAAAAATATGTTATGACGTCATTATATTTACCCAATTTGATTGGTCCACACGTGAACACACCTCCGAATCGGCCTCATTTATCTCATTAATATTCAGTGCCCTCCAAATTCGTGACGCCGGTGACGATCGTGCTAGAGACAATTTCTTCTTGAAAAAAACACCGACTTTCGACGTTTTAACCAAAATTAAGGCTGTATTTATACATATTAAGTATTTGTACATATCTTGTAGAATCAATATGTTAAGAATTTTGGCGAGCAGCGTGCAAAGGGAAGGCGCAAGAGGCCTGACTTTGTCGGGACTTTCCAGAGCCAGTTCCGTGACTACCCGGAGAAATGTTAGCAGTGCAGCAGCCGATGAAGAAGGTATGCCGAATTACACGTACATGTAGCTTTTTGACCAAAGTTATTTCGAAATCTTTCTTGACACGTTCTACAGTTCTCCCCTACATTTCTCTCCTTAGTCAGTCCCTCGGGCAAAATCTTGTAAATACGCGAAAGGCATGTTATTTCATCAGTGATTAATGTTGTAAACTTTGTGCACATTTGAAATTATTGTTGACATGGTTGGTTTTTTTTTTTGTGGGTTGATTGGGGGTGTGGCAATGTTTGTCCACATTTTAAAATATTCCGACTTGAAAAAGTTGACTGGTGTTTATTGTCTGAGACCTACCACATATTATTTATAGGCCCCCTATATGATAAAGGTGAGTTTGTCATAGTGGACGGTCTGCTGCTGTGTTTTGCAATTACAAAGGAAAGTTTGACATGGCAGGATTTGAAATTTTCAGACCAGTCTCATAGGGTTTGTGGACGGAAAAGGGTGACAAGCACAAGTGATGGCCAGATATGGGAATATTTCCTTTATTTCTTTTGTGTTTTATTATTTAATAGTTTTCTTAACTTTTATGTTTAAATCAAATCCTACTTTTTATTGGTAAGGTAAGTTATTAGGTAAGGATCATTTTGTCGGCACCCATTCAGGTTTGGATTCGTTATAAATTAAGGACAAACAAACAAACACTAAAAAAATAAATAAAAAAAAAACCAGCAAATGCAAACATGACAAACAACCAAAAACAGAAAAGACAATCAAACAAACAAATCAAAAACAAACAGACACCCCAGCAAAGAAACAGACAGACTAAGGAAGCCAACAAAGAAACACACCGTCATGATTAGACAGGAGATCAATCACACTAAAGCAGTTGAATTAGAGTCCATATTTGTCTTTAACTAGCTTTGGCAGATTTTTTTTAAAAGTGAAATAAATACTGAGAGCCATTCGGTTGATAGTCTTGTTCCAAGAGCCAAAGATCCTGACATTGAATATTGTCAGGTCAGGGGACAAGAAAGTCATCTGCTGTAACAATAGCCACTGCGTTTAAAAGAGAAAGAAAAAAGAAAGTTCAGGAACATGTACAGATGTATGTATCTTGGTCATGTGGTGATATTTTTCTTGGGCAAAAGCAAACTCCTCTTATTGTTTACGTCATTGTTTTGGTTTCACAGGATGTAACTTGTAAATATGACAAATTAACGATTTAAATTAATAAATTTAAGTATCGGGAACAATTTCATACCTGGACATGACTTGACACCCTGTGCAAAAACCCTATGAGACTGGTCTGAAGAAAAAAAAATCAAATTGTTTTCTCAGTAAAAGTTCAATATTTTCCCTGCTAAATGTCACTTTTTAGGACTTAGTATCGCTTTCTGATGGCTGATAATAGGTCACTAGTACTGCAGGGGAAAACCATGTACATTTTTTTGTATGGAATTTCTTCTCAAGTATCATCTACGTATGACATTGGACATAATCCGTATTCTAAAAAATCACCATTCTGAAACCTCCCCAAATATAGTCAAACGCACTGGTAAATGCATTAAAGGGAATGTACAACATGTGCTTTTGCTGCAATTTTCAGAAGTAAATGGGTTTGGAGGATTAGAATGTTATAGCAAGTATTGTTAAACTGACTTGTTTCACGTTTTGGGCTTGTATATATGTAGATGCTGGAAAAACCGAGAAAACCAATCATGGTCTTGTAGTCTGGTTCCCTGACCTCACTTTATTTAATACGTGTAAGATGAAACGGAACAATTTGTAGACTTTGGGGAATTGTAAAGTCAGAGAATAAGTCTGGCCGGCTTGCACCCCTTCAGTTCACACTTGTGTAATCAATTGCAAAGAAAATGTGGATTAACTAAATAATAACAATTAGAAGCATTTTTTTTTTTTTTAAAGCCAGTTTTTTTCCAACGCTAGTTGGCCGACCAGCTTTGGAAAAATACTTGAAAATGTCAGCACACAAGGAGCTACAATTTTACAGGGTGCCTAGCAATCCAGTAAGGTTTTTCATGATAATTTGATCATTTAATTTTTTGATGCTTGCAAATGTTGTATCTTCCCTTTAAATCTTCGTTCGCCGGTGTTCCACTAGAGTGTACAGTGTACTTTGGCAAAGCCTTGGCCCATATTGAAGTGTATAGTCTGATAGTGTAATGTGTATCAATGTGTTCACTGAGGCAGGTAAATATTCATGCAGTAGTCTTATCTCTGACACATTTGATAACAAGTGATTTGCTGGTACTAATGGTAGTGATTGTGTACCGTAGGACCATGGTCTGATGGTAGGACTGGTCATTATTCCGTTGGCTTTCATTCAGACCATTTCATCTTCAATCACTGTACCCTTGAGCTGAATTTGCTTTATGGTTGAACATTAATTTCTATCCAAGAATTGATATTGAATTTTACAACTGACATACAGATCATTGTCATTTGATTGGTGGAACTCACATCACGTGACACTTATTATTGCACAAGTACATGTACATGTACATGTATACACGCTGGGGCTCAAAAAGTCCCATTTGCCCATGGCGAATGGGATTTTATTATTCAACAGTTAAGATCATCCTTGTTCCATGGCGCGATATTTGTGTGCAAATGTATGCTGGTGTGTGCGTTGAGCATTGCGCGCATTGTTGCCAAGAGCCAGTAGCTACAGAGTTGGGCTCAAACATTTTGTGAAGGGGTGGTTTGGAAGAGAGAAATACATTTCCTACCAATTTTGTATTCAAATAAGAGTTCATTTTAACTGTAAATCAAATGGCAAGGATCTATACGTGATGTACACTGTATGACAGTTACATATTGAGTGGCTTTAAATAGTGAAATATGATCGCTCGGTAAAATCGGAACTTTTCCATTTCACTCGGCCTCGCCTTTTGAAATGGAAAAGTCAAGATTTTACCTTGCGATAATATTCCTCCCATTCCACTCTGAACCACTCAATATTTGTATTTACAATGTATAACAACTGACAAAATACAATGCAAATTTTTTTCTTAAAGCTGCGCTCCAATGCTCTTCAAGAAATATTCGGGTTTTTATTCTATTAATAAATTTCCAACCTCTTTTTTATGTCTGCAACCCTCTGAATTATTGGGTTTTTTTTTGTTTTGGGCACAAAAACTATCCACTTTGCGAGCAGACTGGCTCCCAGTCCGTATAGTAATGGATACTGACTGTGGGACAGGAACCAGCCTATACCCTGCAAGAACCGAATCATTGTCAGGCAGCCAATAATTTGAAAGTATAAAGTAATAAATCAACAATTAAACATTAAAACAAAAAACTTAAAGGTAATATGCAACATTTGCAAACGTAAAATAACAGAACTACTAAATTATTGTGAAACACCGGTACCTTACTTGACTGTAAGTGAATAATGGTCTCAAGCATCCTGTAAAAATCATGGCACCTGGTGCGCTGTCATTTTCAAGAACAGTGGAATTTTGTATCAATTTCCAACGATAGTTGGCCGATCGCCATTGGACAATTTTTTTTTCTCCAAATACTGCCCGCAGTTTACCAAATTTAGCATGTTAAGTCTACAATTGGTTACACATCCGTTAACGGGTGCAAGCAAGCTAGTCTGGTTCCCTGACCTGACAATTCCCCAACGTCTGTAAATTTCTCTGTTTCGTCTGAAGTACCGGTAAGGTCAGGGCATTTTTTTCTTGGTTTTTCCAGCTTCTGTGAACACAGAATTTTAAACTGGTCAGTGTAACAATATTTGCTATAAACTACTAACCTCCAAATCCATCCATTTTTGAAAAAAAAAGAATGTCCGACTATGTTCAACATTGGTAAGCTACTGGTACGTAACTTATTGCCCAGAAACTTTTTATTTATGACAGATCCCAACTTCTTTGAGATGGTGGAGGAGTACTTTGACCGGGGAGCGGCCCTAGTGGAAGACACGCTGGTGGAGAATATGAAGGGAAACCTGTCCAAAGATCAAAAACGACTCAAGGTACCAGACTTACATAATATGTAAACCCTGATGATCTCCCTTAGGGTTGCAGGCCAGTAAATCGGTCCGAAATCGCCTACGCTGGCCAAATCACAATTTGCATGCCCTCAAGTTCTTCATAGGGAGGAGCCATTTTTCACACTCGTCTCATCAAGATCAAAAATGAACAAGAAAAGGCCTAGTAAAAGTCGTCCCAGGGCACACAAAATTCTACTCAATTGATTCAGAATGGCTGTTCACTGGAAGTCTTCATGCATGCGGTCTACACAGTGGGGCGGATGTAGCCCATTCATTGGCATTGTGGGGTAATCCTATATGGGTCATTCCACCGGGTTGGGGAACAATGTGTGACATATGACCATACTAAGAAAAGCATGAATGTCTTGCTAGCAGTTGCTCTACATAATGTTTGTTGTTGGGTGTTTCACTACTGCAGAAATTTCAATGTATTGTGCCAAAAATATGAGCAAAAAATGTCATTTTGGACGTAACATTGACACCGTGTCAATGTTACGTCCAAATATGACATTTGTACCTTTTTCTAAAATTTGTGTGAAACATTACCCAAATTCACTGTACGACCTTCTTACTATGCATGCAACACAATAAGAAAAGCTTTTGTTATGGTAGTCAGGTATCAAATGGAGCAGAAATGATAGCTTGGTTGTGTGGATGTAACATTGACACGGTGTAAAACCCAAATGTCACACTTTTGTCTCGTTGCTTTCTATCAGGTCCAAGGCATCCTTAAGTTGATGAAACCCTGCAACAACGTGCTGAGCCTAAACTTCCCCCTGCGGCGTGACGACGGCTCTTTTGACATGATCGAAGCGTACAGAGCTCAGCACAGCCAGCACCGAACACCTTGCAAAGGCGGTAAGTAGCCTTTTTTTTCCCCAAAAATATTGGATTTTACTAATGTCACCCAGAACATACTGTTTTACTAATGCTTGTGAGATAAATAAATCACAAATTTATTCGGTTGGGACTCGAAACTAACACAAACCACAGATGAGCGGGGCTGATGGCCCAAGCCAGAGTAATCTGGCTCCCGATTTCACGAAGCACTGTGAGGCGTCGCAACCTGAGTTACGATGTGGAAAAGTAGACCAACACAGGCATATATACATGTACATGTACATGTAAACTACAAAATGTTTGAGTTCAAGGATTTTTTTTCTGGGTCTACATGTAGGATTTTTTTTTTTAAGGATTCTTCACCATTTATACGAGCATTTCTTTCGGGTGTACTGACAATATGGCGGGGAATTGTTTAGCCTTGGCAGAGGTTTGCGCTCTCTGAGTGCTTTCTAGTCTTGAATGGTGAATCCTTTCAATAGACTTTGATTTCTCCACCCCCCCCCCCCCCAACTTCAGGTATTCGTTACAGTCCGGACGTAAACGCGGATGAGGTCAAAGCCCTGGCCTCCCTCATGACCTACAAGTGCGCGGTGGTGGACGTCCCCTTCGGCGGGGCCAAGGGAGGCATCAAGATTGACCCCCGGCAGTACTCGGAGCGGGAACTGGAGAAGATCACGCGCCGGTTCTGCGTGGAGCTGGCCAAGAAGGGATTCATTGGTAGGTGAACCTTGAGTTTTGATTTCACGCCTAAAGAAACCTGTAGAGATAAGACAGTGAGAAGAAATTACAGTTTTAGAGGTGGGAGAAAATCCCAGACGAATATTCTGGGGAAGCGCACAGAATCATGTAGGGACTGAAAACCAATGACATTTGTTGACAAGGGCAGGAATCGAACCCGGGCCATAGAGGTGGAAGGCGAGGAAAGAACAGTGCGCTAACTTGACTCCCCGTGATTTACACAATATCCAATGATATCCTTACAATTGAAGTGTGAGAAACACAACGACGAAAGTTTCCTTGAAACATCTTAAAAAGCTTTACCTGAAACGTTTATCTTTTCTCATCGCAGGACCTGGTGTTGATGTTCCCGCCCCCGACATGGGCACCGGTGAACGCGAGATGAGCTGGATAGCGGACACGTACGCCATGACCGTGGGTTACCAGGACATCAACGCCCACGCGTGCGTCACGGGGAAACCCATCACGCAGGGCGGCATCCACGGCCGCATCTCGGCCACGGGCCGCGGCATCTACCACGGAATCGAGAACTTCGTCAACGAGGCCTCGTACATGAGCACTGTGGGTCTGACGCCCGGCTTCGGCGATAAGACATTCATAATCCAGGTACTGTATGTTACACGAAGTCAGGGCACTAGACAATAATAATCTCTATCTAGTATGATTCTATCATGTCTGTAAATTTCATGAGTATGTATGGTGTATTGCAATCATGTCAAAATTTGTCTGTCCTGGAGCAAAAACCCACTAGCATCCCCTTTTTTCTGTTGTCAGGGTTTTGGTAACGTGGGTCTGCATACGATGCGTTACCTCCACCGTTTTGGGGCTCGCTGCATCGGAGTGATGGAGATTGACGGAAGCATCTACAATCACAACGGAATCGACCCTAAAGACCTGGAAGACTACAAGCTGGTGAGGCCTTATCTAAAGATTAGTCCAAAAAGGACAAGTTTTTTGTGGGTTTTGTTGGTCCGGGGCAAGTTGAAATAACTGGTCTCAAAGTTGTCTACATGTATGTGCGTTAGACAGTCTTAAAGGGCCACCTCGACCTGTAACCATGGAATGTTTGTTTGTGAATCATAACTCTAAACGGGCTTATTGCAATGGGCTTAAATAGTTGGGCATCTTTTAACAACAATAGCCTTTAAACAAAATTGTGGTGTACCTAGTCCGTTTCCCCAAGCGGTTGTTTTTAATTTAACCCTAACGTACCTGAATCCATCAAAATCATACCCCTGTTTTGGAGGATTTCGGCGGATTCAGGATACCTCCATATTGAAAAAGATGGGGGATTTTGATGGATTCAGGATACCTCCATATTGAGCAGTTGCGGTACTTTGGATTCAGGATCTCAACATATACTACACTGGTGGATTCTGATGGATTCACTGGTGGATTCTGATGGACTCACTGGTGGATTCTGATGGACTCAGGACACCAACTTTTTTTTGCACGACAAAATTGGTGGATTGTGGCGGATTCAGAACACTTCCTAGTAAAAGTGCTCAAGGGGTTAGGGTTAAACTGTTAAAGATGATGATAAAAAAAATTTAATTGGCAAACTATGTTTTTTTCTGCAGTTGTTTTGTCTTTATAATCATAGTACAATCATGTAATATTTTTATCTTAATCTCTTGGTGACAGCAAAATGGAACCATTGTTGGCTTCCCAGACGCTGAGCCCTTCGATGGCGACCTGATGGTGGAACAGTGCGACATTTTGGTGCCTTGTGCCGGGGAGAAACAGATCACGCCCAAGAACGCCCCACACATCAAAGCAAGGGTGAGCCAGCAGCCTGTTACAATGAAACAACTTCCCCAATTTTAATACCAATTGACTTGTTTGACTAGGTTACTGTACTAGTTGACTAGTTTACTACGTTTCACTAGCCCTCGTTCTAGTTTACTGCAAGTTTTACCAGCCCCCTTGTCTAGTTTACCCCTGGTTTTACTTATTCCATGGACTAGTTTACTACAATTTTCATTAGGCCCCCTGGATTAGTTGACTGTATGTTTTAGAGTTCCATTTACTAGTTTACCGCAAGTTTAACTAGCTCCTTTGACTAGTTTTCTGCAAATTTCACCAGCCCCCTGGACTACTTTATCCCAGATTTTACTGGTACACCGGACAAGTTTATTTCACTCACTACCTGGACTGGTTTACTCCATGTTTCACAAGCTTCCTGGACTAGTTTACTGTAGGTTTTTGAGTTCCATTTAGACCTAAAAAAAAAAAGGGTTATGTTGGCGTAACCCGACTGACCCTAAAAATGCGGCCGACCCTGGATATATATTTTTTTTTGAAGGGAAGAAATATAATTAAAATCTATAGAAATGAATTTTAAATACGTTTTGAAACCATTTCTGACCGTTTCTCCTCAATTGTATGACGATAGCGCGCGTGGAACTTTGGAGTGCACAATGTTTTGCACCTTCCTCTCCATGACACAACGAACATGCAGAAGATAGCGCAGGCCTACAGGCAGTGCGCGTGCGGAGATCGATGCACCATGCATGCATGATAGATGTACATGTACAGTACACGTGTAGCCTCGTCCTAGACTGTTGCACGGCGCGAACTGCTACATACACTATTGAAAATACTTTGCTATTTATTCCATGTTAAAAAAATAGTTCATTATAATATAAATTATTTTAATTCATTTTCCACTATTTTACACGATAACAATTGATATATATTTATTCTAAAAATGGTAAACTATTCTGTAACCCTGGCGGCTGACGCGACCCAGCCGGCCCTCGGCCCGTGGTTACCCGCGTACGCCGTCGCATCATGGCGCCCGGTACCGAAGCGTACAGTGTTTCCATCAAGGGCAAATGGGGATCTTCGGTCATTTTCGACCGTTTAATGCGGACAAATTTGAGTCTAGAGCTGGGGATAATCGCCCAGAGCTGTGCCGATGGTGTAAAAGCGGGTTACACCGTGCTAAAAATACAAACTTCAAAGGAAGAATCGGGTCCATATAAAGATGTCGATGCAGATGAAACGGCTAACATTTTGTCTGATTTTGGATTCCGCTTTTTGATATGTACCTTTGGAAAGGTTGATGATGAGCCTTGTTTTCTTTTGTTATCGTGTACTACTACCGGCTTAATGTCATTTTCGTTGCTGGGATTATAAAAAAAAAAAAAAAAAAAAAAAAAAAACGACCTACCTACCCTATTTTTCTGGCCTGTTACGCCAACATAACTTTTTTTTTTTTCAGGCCTTACTAGTATACCTCATGTTTAACTGGTTCCTTGGCTAGTTTATCGCAAGTTTCACTGGCCCCTGGACTACATTGTAGTTTACCCCAGGTTTGTACTAGTTCCGTGGACTAGTTTACTACAAGTTTCACAAGCTCCCTTGTCTAGTTTACTTTACATTTCAATAGCAGCCCCCTCCCCCGGACTAGTTTACTGTATGTTTTAGAGTTCCATTTACTAGTATACCTCATGTTTAACTAGTTCCTTGGCTAGTTTACCGCAAGTTTCACTGGCCCCCTGGACTACATTGTAGTTTACCCCAGGTTTGTACTAGTTCTGTTGACTAGTTTACTACAAGTTTCACAAGCTCCCTTGTCTAGTTTACTTTACATTTCAATAGCAGCCCCTTCCCCCGGACTAGTTTACTGTATTAACTGCATCTTTCACCAGTTCCTTGACTAGTTTACTGCAGGTCTCACTCCTGTACTAGCATACTCCACAGTTCATGAAGCCACGTAGACTAGTTTACTGGTATTTTTCCCGATCTATTAACTTGTTTACTACATGTTTCACCAGTCCCTGGACTCCCCTGGACTAGTTAATTATGTGCTTTATAGCCTACTGGACTAGTTTACTCCACCTTCCACTAGTTCTGTTGACTAGTTTATTAACTAGTTTACTGTATGGTTCACCAGCCCCCAGGATAGGTTACTGTAAATTTCACTAGCTTGCTAACCACTGCAATTCACTTCATATACTAACTCCTGCATGCTGTTGTTTCTACCCTACAAGGCTTATTTTACATTTCGAATTTCGAAATAATTAGAAATATTATATTTGTTTAAATTTATGTGTATTTATTGGAATATTTTGTGCAGATTATTGCTGAAGGTGCTAACGGTCCTACTACCCCAGGTGCCGATAAAATTCTACAGGAAAGAAACATCATGGTCATTCCCGTGAGTATCCTGTTTTTAGATTATTCTTAAAGGCGCCTAGGTATACATTGTAATTACTCAGAAACAAATTTCTCGATTTCTTCACTCAAAATGAAGAAAGGACGGGTACCAAATACCCTGTGAAATTATCCCGCCTGAAATGGTTTCGATCAAAAGAAAACAATCATTGAAGGTGGTTTTCAAGTGTGTTACAACAAAATCCAGTCACAAGACCGATAAATTAGGCATATCTTTTCTCTGTTTTCTCAAAAAGTAAAGTAGCCACTGAAAAAATAATCCCACGCCTGGGTCTGGTCACTGTCAGAATAACCCCGGCGCAAACGGGTTAAGCCTGTTTTCCCACTGAGAAATAATATTTGCCATTTCCGGTTCCCCACACATCTTTACAGGATATGTACATCAACGCCGGTGGTGTGACCGTCTCGTACTTTGAGTGGCTTAAAAACCTGAACCATGTCAGCTACGGCCGGCTCACCTTCAAGTACGAGAGAGACTCCAACCAGTTCCTGCTAGGTGAGTTTTTCAAATTCCATTTTTAAAAATTTTGTACTGAATGTTTGGGACAGGTACAGAAGTCAAAGTTTTCTTGAGTCCAAAATCTCTGACGAGGTTTGTATTGGCTTTTTAAAGAGGTTAACATGGTTAAAGGGAATGTACATCATTGACTTATGCTTTAATTTTCAGAAATGAACTATTTGAGGGGTTAGTATAATAGATCAAATTATTGTTACACTGACATGTTTCAAGTTTTGTTTTTTTGAAAATGCTGGAAAAACCAAGAAAAACAAAAATGTTCAAGTAGTCTGGTTCCCTGACTCCACTGAAGGTGAAGTAGATCAATTTACAGATGCCAGAAAATTGTACGCTAAGGGAACCAGTCTAGCTGACCTGCACCCATTCATGAACATAAAACCAATTAGCAAACAAAATTGGACTGAAAAATGGTAAATTTGGAGCAGTAGTGAAAAATAGGTTTTTCCTACGGTGGTCGGCCGACCACCGTTGGAAATGTAAACAAAAATACAGTTTGCTTGAAAATGACTTCACACTAGGTGCCATAATTTTACAGGATGCTTTAGACTGTCATTTACCAACATCCTGTAAGGTATTTCGTAAAAACTTGATCATTTTATTTTTCGATGTTTGCAAATGTTGTATTTTCCCTTTAAAGTATGCATTTTTTGCTAAATGTATGCGTACGGAGATAATCCTCTCAAGTCTTTGGATTATGTAAGTCGATATTGAGACAGCTTCAATGTCAATCTTGAAAATGGTGCATGCGTGAGAACTGAAGAGATTTTCAAGCTCTGGCAGGAGCTTCTTCAAGTCACTTGGTGGTCGATCGGTTGGTCAGTCAGTCAGTCGATCTGTCTGTCTATCCCCGAAAATTGACCCAAAATATTTGTCCAAAAATGGACCAAATGCCATGCCGTGGTCATATAAATACACTCTTGACGAAAGTTTTCGGAAAACAGGCTTTGTTTCAATCGATGCACAATGCTTGTCTATTTTACTATGAAGTGAGACATTCCAAAACCGGGCCAGAGCTTATTGTGCACTTGCACTTGTTTCCTCCTAGTCTTGACACTTGCTATTCTACCCCAAAAGTGGTCCCACATTTGCACACTGCATTCTGAATCTTCTTCTATTGATTGATTGATTGATTGGGTTTTTAATTTCTGCGAAATTGACTAAAATAAGCCCCCCAAGGTTCCCATAAAAATATAACTACCAAATTTTTATTTAATAAATTAAATAGTTAAAAAATAAATTTATGTAACAATTCGGAAATATGTTTGTGAAAAGATTGTAAAAGGGCGCAAAAACGTGCAGTAATGTTATAGTCACGTGGTGTGTATCACAACTCACTATAAATTTAGGTATAAATCCAAAGTATGGTGTTCCATATGTGCCATCCGCGTTGCATTTTGGGACGTCACATTTTTGGGTGTCGCATTTTTAAGCTCTGGCAGGGATCATTTTGATAGATTTCATGCAAGACTCTCGTGCCAGACGACCAGAGCTTATTGTGCACTCGCATTCATTTCTTGTGTCGTTGCAGAGAGCGTACAGGAGAGTCTTGAGAGGAAATTTGGCAAGCACGGCGGCCGCATCCCCATCGTACCCTCTGAGAAATTCACAGACCGCATCTCTGGCGCCAGCGAAAAGGACATCGTGCACAGCGGCCTGGCCTACACCATGGAACGGTCCGCAAGGGTAGGTTGCAGTAAAACAGCCAATACTCAATCATTGGTTTTGTAATTTTCGTCCCGCTTGTTTTCTTAGAGTGGTACCCCTTCCTCATGTCATCTCTATTTAGAAGCAGTTTCCTGGACTCCCTCGACTGCCCGGATGCTTTTGAAGTGTGGCCCCCTTTCTTCTTTTCAAATTGTATCTGTTGGGGAAGGATTTCTTCCCCCCCCCCCCCACCCCAAAAAAAATTCTTGATGTGAGTGGTGCTATTTTTGTTCATGAGAGTGTCCAATTTCTTTTGAGGAGTGGCACCCCTTTTATGTTAGTGTCCTTTCCGGGATGCTTTGCTGTCTTTTCACAGTTTCTTTTATAGAGTGGCACCCCTTTCCATCCACAAAAAAAATCTCCTTTGTTGAAGCCCACCTAGAGTGACTCTTTTGGTTGGAAAATGCAGACAAAAAATAGTTAAATGCTTAAGTGGAAATACAGCTTTTTGCTCTTGCATGAAAGCACTTTCCCTTGAAAGTCAATCCACTCATGAATAATGCATCGCTTTCTTTGAATATACATTGCATATTCATGAGCTAGTCACCAATCACTGATCACTTTTTCAACATGGGAACAGTCTCCCTTTCGAACTCATCCACTCATGTATAATGCATTGCTTTCTTTTGAATATATATTATACATTGCATATTCATGAGTAGGTCATCCATCATTGGTCACTGTTTAATCGTGGGAGTTTCCAATCATGTAGTGAGAATTTCAAAAGTAAAAAATCATGGTAATTCCTGTGTTGGAAAATCATTTGACCTATCGCGGTAGAATCGTGTTAGAATCTCATCAACGCAGCTTGTGTAATATTGTCCAATTACATGGTATACAAATAGACGCAGAACGTGCAAAATGTGAGACAAACAAAAGTTAGTGTACAAAAACTCCATAGGGTTGTTTAAAGCCCGAGTCCATCATTTGCAGCTATCCAAAAAAGTAACTGGCGTAATTATTGTTGAAAAACATACTGGTTGAAAGATAGTAAGGGGACTAAACTCCCTGTGAAATTATCCTTTCTGGCAAGCTCTCATTTCGAAGAAATCAACGAAAGAAGGCATTTCCAACGGTGCTTCTTAAGAAGCACCGTAGGAAAATTTAAATTAGTTGTTCCTTTTGTTATTCGGCGCTGCGCGCACAAGCATTGGAACGACGCACAGGCGCGCTCGGTTGCTAGAATTCGTCGGATCAGTGCGCGACATCGCGTAAAGCTGCAATTCAAAACAATTCGAAACATGATTTAGCAACTTTTGATTTTAAATTGAGATCCTAAAATGCTGTTTTTCTCGGAATATGAAGCTGAAGCTGAGCTGAAACTTCATCAAGTAAGTTGTTCAGTATCCTTCATTAGATTTTGAACACTTTTGTTGCTTCAAACGAACAAAATGCACTAATTACAAATGATGGACTATAGCTTTAAGGGGCGTGGCTAACTTCCCAAACGGCGATAGGTCAACTGCTTTGGCACATCCAATGCAAATCATTGGGTAATTATTTTCACCCCACCAACCATTTTTGTTTGTTTCGTAGCAAATCATGCGAGTTGCGATGCGGCACAATTTGCGTTTGGACATCCGAACGGCCGCCTACGCATCAGCCATCACCAAGGTCTATTATACGTATCTCAATGCGGGCCTTACCTTTTAACCAAAACTCCGCCCACAAAATGGAGGATTCTACCACACGAAGACAGTAATACCGTAATTTCTCTTTCGTGTTGCTCAGAAAAAAAGTTTTATTCAAGCTCTACTCTGGTAGACTACTGATGTTTTTTTTTTTTTTTTGTTTTTTTTTGAGGGGGGGTTTACAACAAGAAAAATGTGGTTGCTTGGATTTTATCCAATCTGAAACTTGAACAAAATGCTTTGTTTGATTCTGTCATGAAAACCTTTCGAAAAGTGTAAAAAAGAAAAACGGTGCGATTTTTTTCTGATACTTGTACAAGATGCTTCGTTTGGTTTTGGTTGTTACACAGAAAGAATTTGAAGATTGACTCATTTTAATAGAAATGTTTTTTTAAGCCTTCAAAATTTATTCAATTAATCAAGTTTTCATTATTGGAAATGCAAATTTGTATTTAAAGAAATCTCATATTTGGTGTGGGAAGGGTCTTGGCAGGACATACTATTTTTTATTAACATGTTTTGGCATTTTTGAAATTCATCCTTGAAAAATACTTACTAAATTTTTTGAATTTCCATAATTTTTTTTGAGGAAAAGTCTTGAGGAGTTGGGAGAAGTCTATTTCATCACGGAAAATTCTTAGCCCATTTCCGTGAAGGACCACATGAAAAAGTCTAGCAGTTTGAATTTTTTTCTGTGAGACGATGAAAAGTCCTGCAGAATTAGGGGCATTTCTATCACAGAAAAGTCTAGAGAATTCTGAAAACTTTCCATGGTTGATCGTGGAGAAATTTTAACATAGTGGAGAGAATTTTTCCATAACAAAATCATGGAAAAACCGAGAGTAGCCACCAAATTCACATGGAACTACTTATAGGTTGTGAAAAATTTCTGAGGGAATGCAAAATTTCATGAGAAATCATTTTGAAAGGCAAACCAACAATTTTTTCAGTATGAGTAAAACTTTTTTGTATGAGCATTTTATCGTCTTTTTCTGGTAGCACTAGTTTCTGTGCGTAATATCCTTGCCCCTACTCTTGCAAGCGGTGTTGGTGGTGGTATGTGCAGAGTAAGCAGTTTGTAACAGGGTAGCATCATCTGTTTGAAGTGTGGCACATGCGTCTTTGTACTAGCAGCATGCTACATGTACATGTACATGTCGTTGTGCACTGTAGCATGATTTTGCATATTTCTGGTTTACTAGTCTCACGATTTTTCCTGTTTTTTTTTTTTCAATTTCCCCATGTTTTCCCAGGTATATTCCCTCAACATTGCAGACTTGGGCCCGCAACATGGCAGTTTTGATTGATAATCCAATACAAAACAAAAACAGCAAATCAAAATGTTATTAACATTTTGGAATTGTTTTCGACAGTTTGGACACATTCGACATTCTGGACATTGTTTAAGTTTATGACATATTGGACATTTTGACATGATGGACATACCGGTACATTGGACATTTTGGACACTAAATTTTGGATATTAAATTTTGGACTTTAAAGTTTAGACGTTGAACATTTTTGACATATCGGACATTTTTGGCTGGACTTTTTGACATTTGGGACATTTAATTTTGGACATTTAGGGCATATTTTTTTTATCATTTTTGACATTTCAGACATTTTGAACATTCAATTTGTGACATTTTTGACATATTTATCATTATGAACATATTTGACCTTTTTGACGTTTTTTGCATATTTTTGACATATTTGACATGTTTGACACAGACATTTTTATTTCCATGCACTTCTTATTACAGGTGTCTTTTTTTTTGCAGTGTGATGGCTGATGTGTATCATTGTATGCATACATGTGGCTCATAGCATGTTGTTTTATAATTGCTTTGGCTTTTGCAAATCCATTTTTTTGTTACCCACTGTTATTGCAGGTGTTTAATTGTGTTGCAGTCTAACAGTTTGTCCCCCGGTCTAATAGTGTAATAGTTTGTCCCCCGGTCTAACAATAGTCTAATAGTTTGTCCCCCGGTCTAATAGTCTAATAGTTTGTCCCCCGGTCTAATAGTCTAATAGTTTGTCCCCCGGTCTAACAATAGTCTAATAGTTTGTCCCCCGGTCTAATAGTCTAATAGTTTGTCCCCCGGTCTAATAGTCTAATAGTTTGTCCCCCGGTCTAATAGTCTAATAGTTTGTCCCCCGGTCTAATAGTCTAATAGTTTGTCCCCCGGTCTAATAGTTTGTCCCCCGGTATGCTGGGAACACTACCAAGCCTGTGTGAAATAAAACTCTGTTTTTCAGTGATTCTATGTTTTGACTTGTACCCCATGAACAAAGAAACTGACAAGAGAAAGGCTGCCTACGTGTGGGACTGGATAGCTCAGTTGGTAGAGCACTGTTACGGTGTTCAGGAGGTCACAGGTTCAAACCCTGCTCAAGTCAGTTTCTTCGTTCATCCTTGTTTCATTCTTTTAAAGATAATTGTAGAACTGTAATCACGCAGCCATATTTAAATCAGATGCCAAATTTTTAGTGTATCAATCAGCGTTTCAGACACCTTTTCTTCCAACTTCTCCCTTTTTCCTATCCCCATAAGCCTGCTGCCTTCTCTGGAATGCATCTCTTTTCACCATGAGTTGATTTTATTTTTTTTCCGTCTTCGACCGCTTTTCCTTCCTCATTTGAAGAAAGCTTTCAATGTCATGCCACTGGTCTGCTGCAATACGTGTTGTAATCCTGAACACACTTTCCCTGCCGAGTTGAATAAACATTGGCGGTTACAACTTCATGGGTTTGCCACTTTGTGCATGCGTTTATCGGGGTCATGCCTGAACTATCGAGTGCAGTCTTTGGCCTGTTCAAATGAGCCCCATGAGAGCACATCTTGGACGCTAGTCAAAAATTCATCATGAACTTCACAGTTCCGTCTCCCAGTGAAATTGGCCCTAGTTTGCCATTGCCTTTATTATACACAACACTGCTTGCACAGAATTGCAATGTTTGAAAACGCATCACCAGGCAATCTCAAACCTTCCATGCAGCTTGCAATGTCTTCCCCGCGCTTCTTAACATGTCAACCATATCAAACATGTCAAACACGTCAACCATAAACACATCGAACACGTCAAATATGTCAAACATGTCTAACATGTTAAACACGTCAAATATGTCAAACACATCAAACATGTCAAAAGTACTTTAGAGCTGCAATACTTGATATCATACTCAAGCAATCTCAAACCATGCACGGCACCTGCATGTCATGTCATTGCTTGCTTCATGAATGGGTTGAAACTAAAGGGACGAATGGGGGTGGGGGGTGGGGCGGGAGTACTCCAGACTGTCAACTTACCCCAAATTTGGGATTTCAGATAAAAATTCCAGCGTCTTAAATTCTTTTGTGTTTCCCATCAGCAACTGATGAGGATTGGCATGAAGTACAATCTGGGGCTGGACCTCCGCACGGCGGCCTACGTCAACTCGCTGGAGAAAATCTACAACACCATTGGCAAGGCGGGTCTCGCTTTCGCCTAAACGACAACACCCCCCCAAACTCCCCCCCCCCCCAAATAAAAAAATCACGCTCTTTACATTATCTCACAATGCCTTCAAGGCCTACACGTCCATGTCTAAACTTCTTCCTTTTTCGTTCTTACTCCATCTGCGTGTCTGAAACGTTGGTTTGATATCTTTTTAACCCTCCTAGTGGGAAGTCCATATTTCGGAGCGAAATAACCCTTTAAAACCCTGCAGGTCAATTTCGGGTGAAGGGACATGAGTGTTAAAGTTAACTGTGTGGACAAACAGAGTCACTGCATGACAAACAAACCCAGCACTGTGGAGAGCAGCGAAGCGTGACCGAATCTGCCTGCTTGCCCTGAGCTTAACCACGCAAAAGAATTGTGCAGGGATTTGAAGTGCTATCCATACTCCAAGAATTGTGCAGGGATTTGAAGTGTTATCCATACTCCACAGAAGATTACCTCAAAGGAATCTGTGAAGTGTGAATGCTAACTCTGTGGGCAAAAGTGGTTTTGTAAAACTAGGATTTTGAAGTGCAAAAGACTAGGAGGGTTAATAGACCGCACTAAAACAATTGCAAATACCAACCAAAAAATGAACAACAATTTCTGCGTTTGTATGTGTTGATGGCTGTGTCTGGGTAAAGTATTGCCTTGCTGTGTGAGAACAGTAGAGGGCGCTTTTGATTACCGTGATAATTTTTTTTCCCTCGATCCCTCTCTGCCCTCTCCCAGCAAATCATGCGCACGGCAATGAAGTACAACTTGGGCTTGGATCTACGCACGGCTGCCTACCTCAACTCGATCGAGAAGATCTTCCAGACTTATCACGACGCCGGGCTCACCTTCACATAAACTGCCAAAGCCAGAGACCCCCTTAAACCAAAAATTGAACGGAGTGGAGTTCCGAGATGACCGCCAACGTTTTTAAAGCACTGAAGATACACTACGCTTGCATCCAGGTTTTGTTTCTCATTGTTAAAGGCATAAAGGATCATTTGTATTTATCTCAAAAGTAAACCACCAGAGAATTATGAAAATGCTTACTTGGATTAAAGATCGTACTGGTACTAAACACCCTGTGAAATTATTCCATCTGGCTTGCTGGCATTTAGAAGAAATCAAGAAATGAAGGTGATTTCCAATGGTCAGTCAATTGACCGATTTCTGGAAATAAAGAGTACAATCAACGAAAGTGCGTTTCTTGAACGAAAGGTTGTGTCTGGTTTGTTCACTGTTCTCTCAAAAAGTGTAGTATCCACTGAGCTGAAACTTCAACAGGCTAGGTTTTCAACATTCATCTGTGGATCATGAGTGGCGTTATTATTGGAAACGAACAAAATGCATGCAAAGCAAATGATCCTATATGCCTTTAAGCTTTGCATCCAAGTTGCATGTATGTCAGCTAGACAATGCAACACGGCAACCTAGGTTATTCAGAGTTCGCTCAAGCTTAATTGCACCCCAGTATTTTTAAAGTTCACTGTTTAATGAACCACAAATAGAAAGCTCTATGTATATGTTACATTAGCCTTTGACAGTTGAGAGGTTTTAGTATTTGTTTTTAACAAAATTATTCTGAAATAGAAACGAATGATTAAAATTAAACAGTACCAAATTTTGGGTGGTGGCCATGTAAGTGCCCAACTCTTTTTTTTTTAATTCTTTTTTTCCCCTAATTTTTACAGTGCAGCTTTTTTGTTCAATCTGTATCATTCTCAAGCAGGAAATGAACAATAGAGGTGCTATTGCTGTGCACAGTGGACTAGTAGATAAAAGTGCTTATTCATCAAGATTGCCACATCATCAACAACAAAAACATGTTGTCGTTTGGTTTGTGAAGCTTCCAAATTGCAAAACACCAAATAACCAGCATAGAAATACTTTCAAGTACTTGCTTTGGCTAAATTATTTAATTTTCACAACGAGGTAGTTCTTAAATGTAAATCTTGAATTGGGGTCAATTCTATGCATAAAAGTTGATTGATTAATTTGATTAATGATTAAATATTTTGTGTGCGAATAAAGGTGTGTATATATACATTGATTTTGTTTGGTGGGTGTGGTCTGGGGAGTGCTTTATGCTCCATTGATATTGGTTGCTTTATCTCGTTGCATATTCATGAGCGAGCCCTCTTTGCCTATTGGTGAACTCCTCAGGGCATGCCTCCTGATTGGACAGCTTTTACCAGCTTTTAAATGCTTTGGCTTAAATCACTGCCCTGGATACAAGGTTGATGGCAATCCCAACCCATGTAGGAATATCCACCCATTTGAAATTCCTGTTAAAATTTCCTCTACCAAGGTAAAACCACAACATTTTTTTAAAAGGGGTATTTCCTTTCCATTCTGACTTTATGTTACTAATGAAAAATTAATCATTTATTTTTAGCTTTTCCTGTAAACATGTATAAATACTTAGTGGAGTTGCCGTGTGCATCATTCAAAACTCAAAAGCTGAGAGATTTGTTTTGATTTAGGGGTACGTGTGCAAACGTGTGTAAAACTTAAAAATTTACTTTATGTTAAACTTTCCAGTAATAGATTTTTTTCTGTTATCGTTATCTACTTTACTTCATCGTTACTATATCCAGAATAGTGGGGGAAAATACCTTTCATGAAATTTCCAAACATCTTATGAGCGTTTCCCGTGCTAGAATTTGCAATTCGATTTGTTCCGGAGCTTTTATTTGTACTTACTTTCCATTTCCGAGCCTTGAAGTACATCATTTTTCAAAACTACTCCTCCAGTAATTAATGATATGGGGGATGGGGCTAGTTTCAAGGAAGCAAAAATTGCCAACGTACGTTCGCGATCTGTTTTGTGTGTGAGTTTGTTTCTGCATTCAATAGGGGACGTTGAGCAAGAGAGGACAGTAGGGTCCCCAATTTCTAGAAGGTCCCCAATTTACGATTATGTACAAATGTATGCGAGGTCTTCCTAAAAAGATTGAAGACAAAAGAGGGACCATAGGGGTCCCCGATTGCAGACAAATACACACTTAGGAGGGTCGGTTTTCCATTCAGACTAAAGACTTATGTGTCAGATTTCAAGGACCCGAGGACCTGCATGGCCAATATAGTCCTCGGTAGAATTTCGTATACAAACCTCATGGGAGCTGTGGAGAGAAAAAAAAATGTTTAGTACATGTACAAGCAAAAGGGAGCAAAAGAAGGAAAGGGGCAGGTCATCGCGAGTATACTGCAGTAAAAACGAGCTGTGTGTGTCGATGCTTAACCCGTGGAAATTGACTGTTCCACATTAGCCCCGCCCACTGCACATCCTGCGCACGCATGTCGAACATTAGTCGGGCTGTGATAGGTTAAAGCACCTTTGGGTGGGGCTTAATGTATCAATATTTAGTTGGCAACGTTTGCAGTTTTCGCATAGATGTTGGCCTAGAATGTTTCCCGGCCCAATATTTGAAGTCCAAATCACAATTTGGACACAGAACCAGACTAGTTTTGGGCTGGCTGGTATTTTGTATACGTAAGGGGAATGTTGTGTCGTGCTCGTGTCACTTTACCAACATTTTGTTTTTCCAAGATTTTTTCAAGTCGCACACTGCGTAGTGTAATTCTGCTAAACATAATTACATTTGGCAAACTCCATGCTCCAATCATCATACAAATTAAGGCCTTTTACAAATATTTTGTTGCCTTGGTTTTCAACAATGTTATGTACAGATTGGAAATTGTTATAAAGGAAAAATTGTGACAAATATGGCAACTGGTCAGATTGTTTTGTTTTGGTTTGTAAGCTATTTTTGTTTTAAAGTGCAGCTGGGTCAAAAATGGAGTTGAAATGTGTTCTGGTGCCCTATAGGAATATTCCCTACAAATTTGAAGTAATTTCATTTTGGGGGGCCAAAAATGAAGAAAAACAAAGGCAAGTGGTTAGCCTTGCATTTTAAAATTAAATTTGGCGGAAAATTGTATCTGACAATATTGAAACATCCGAAATTTTAAAGATTTGGGACAAAATCATCTTCTTCTTTTTTAGGGGAGGGGGGAGAAAATTTTACAAACGTTACTGATTTTGCCCCAAATTTTCGTCGATATTTGAATTTGAAAAGCTCATCTGCCCAGAAAACGAATTGGAATGCGTTGGAAAAATTATTTCTTTGGTCAAAAGTGAAGAAATTGTAAGAAGTTAGCCTTACAGTTTTAATGAAATTTGGCGAATTTGACTTTTCTCCAAAATGTAGGCGAACCCCTTGCATTATGTGTATTTGTTTTTCAATTTTAGCCAAAAATTGAAATTGCTTCAAACTTGCTTGAAAGATGCCTAATGGACACAACAACACATTCCAATTCGATTTTTAGACAGACGAGCTTTCCCAAATGAAATTTCAACGAAAACTTGGGGTGAAATCAGACAAAAATGATGATTTTTTTCTTTAAAAATTGATGAGTTTTGCCCAAACCGTTTCGGTATTGCGTGTTTATGATTGATGCTCCTACTCTTGCCTTTAAAGTAATTTCTGCAGAAATTGGAGAAAAGTTAATTTTTGGCAAAGTGCCTAAAAAAGCAAGTTTTTTTTTTCAATTTTGGCCAAAAAATCAAAACGCTTCAAACTTTATGAAAGACCAAAGAACACTGTTCGATTTCTGGACAGACGTGCTTTTCACAATGAAATTTCGACGAAAATTTGGGGTGAAATCAGTCAAAAAGGATGATTTTTTTCTGTAAAAATCGATGAATTTTGCCAAAATCAATCAAAATATAGGGTGTTTCAATGTTGATTGATGCTCCTTTTTAAGGAATTTCTGCATAGTTTGCAGACAGCGGCGAACGTTGATTGCTGCTGGTGGTCCGCTGGCGGTTTTGGAGCGGCAGACCGCCGGTGGTATGCGCTCGCTGCCTGCCGCTGATGGTCCGCTGGCGATTTTGGAGCGTTGGCTTGCGGATTGGGGACTCCCACGGTTTTCACCCATAATATAAATTATTATAACAATAACACGGTCCACCTGTCAGCATCAATCGGAAAAAAAGACATCTGTCGGGCCGCCCCCCCCCCCCCGCAAAAAGTACTGGATCCGCCCCTGAACGCACCTTATTCCTTAATATTACGTATAACCCTACGATTAACGAGGTAGCCGTATGTAATTGTCCAAACAAATGACAACAGTTTGCTCATTATTGCCCGAAACTGTCGACTTATGTTCGTCCATGGAGCCAAAACAGATGCACACAGCAATGTTCCACGTTTTTCTGCCTATTAAGACAAATAGTTTTTAACAAGAATTCTATGGAAGCCGAATGGCCTAGTGGTTAGATTCGTCGTCCACGAATCGCGGATCCCGGGTTCGAATCCCGGCGGTGTCTTTTTGCTTTTCAACACGCGCGTTCTATTCAGTCATTATAAGATATTTAATTTCCCGTCGCAAAATACCAACAGTACCTTAGCTTAATCGGTAAGCACTGCTGCTGGTACTGTCCGTGAGTTCCAGGTTGGCGTCTTCGTACAGGTTCAGGGCATGTGGTCCACTCGGAGGATCAAGGCTTAGGGTGCCGCCCTGTTCCTCCCTTAGCTCTTTGCTTTTACATGGCGCCTGGCCCTCCGGGGTTATATGGATGGATAGGGAAGGAAGTGTGTATTGGCCGGGAACGCCGAGATCCCAGAAGAGAACTAAGGGATTGGCTGGGGCATTGTTATGGCTCAGACCGATCCCTGAAAGCTTGGCTAGCACATAACTTTTCGAATTTTGTTATCCTCTATTTTATAAAACTTTGGTTAAGTTTGATATGTACATCTGCTCGGCAGGTCTATACGGTAATATTAAAAACGAGACAAAGGTCTATATCATAAATCAATGAATGTTTGATAATTGACTATGATCAAAATTAAATTTCGTTCGATCAATATGACTACCATTATTAATAGCGTAATTCGCAATTGACGTAAGAAACGCCATATACAATATTATACGGGAACAAAAAAGATGTGATGTTATATGGCTCGCACCATGCTTTCAATGGGGGCACTTTTCAAATCCGACGATTATAAATACTATATAAGGCAAAAACAAAAAACAAAAAACAAAACAAAATAGTCGGTCTCTGGTCAGCGCGCACGATTTTAATCATGCGCGTCAATCTTTTTTTTCCAAAATGTTCCGCGGTAGCTCCAACAGCGCCCTCTATTGCTACACCTCCTCAATCGTTTTTTTTTTTTACCAAAGAGCACCAAGGAATGGGAAATTGCACCAAGGCAAATGATCGAGGGCACCAAGGCAAAGTTATGGAGGACACCAATGTACATGAACACACAAAAAAATAAGCAAAATAGTACCCCACCTTGTCTGTAGGCTACCATCCAAGCTTGAAAAAAAGAAAAAAAGTGGTCTGACCAGAGACCGAGTATTTTTTTTTTAAGTGTACAATTACCCCCTAACCAAGCTGCCTCTGTTCTGTCCGTAATTTGTGCACAGTCGGACGTCACGGTACCAGTATATTTTATTGGTGTCGGAGAGATAGAGGGAGGGGGGATTGCATTTTTTTTAAAGCAATTTCTATGCACAATCTTTTTGACGGAGCTGGGGGTGGGGGTGGTGTGACCCCCGAACACATGGATCCGCGCCTGGGCGACTCTTGTAATAATGGGTGTTTGACTGTTGATTGATGAACCTCTTACCTTTAAAGGAAAGAAAAGTATATTTCAATTATCATCAAAAAAGCAAGGCTAACCCCTCGCTTTTTAAAAAAAATTTTGCCCAAAGATCAAAAAGCTTTAATTTGCTGGAAAGATGCCTTAAATTGAATTTACAATATTTGTCATTATGTTTAACATTACGAGATTTAATTTCATAAGAAACCGTCAACCAATGAAGCTATAATGACCGTAACAATACAGTGTTTTAAGCACGACGAATGCAATCCGAATGAAAGTCCATGTGGATTATTTTTCGCGTGTAAAACACTAATTGTTATGACCATATCATTTTTATTGTCGGACTGTTTCTCGTGATATTCAATACACCTCTTACACACATCATGGAAAATCAGTCAACGAATATTCAGTTTAATACATCTTGAATTTCTTGAGTTGTTCATCGGAAAACGAGTTGTTTATTTTTGTTCAATAGTGCAGCATCGGCAGGTCTCGCACTTTAATATTCTTTCAGTAGAGGGCGCGCCACATAAATAGGGGTCTCAAAAATTATCTGCCACCAAACTCGTTGGGGGGGGGGGCGGGGGGGGGGGGAGGGCAACAACTCCAGAAATACAAGATGTATTAAATTGAATTTTCAAGTAGTGATTTGTCATTATGTTTAGCATTGCGAGATTTAATTTCATAAGAAACCGTCAATCAATGAAGCTATATTGCCCGTAACAATACAGTGTTTTAAGCGCGACAAATGCAATCCGAATGAAAGTCAATGTGGATTTGTTTGCGTGTAAAGCACTAAATTGTTACGACCATATCATTTTTATTGTCGGACTGTTTCTCGTGATATTCAATACACCTCTCGCACACATCATAGAAAATCAGTCAACGAAAATTCAGTTTAATACATTTTGTATTTCTTGAGTTGTTCATCGGAAAACGAGTTGTTTATTTTTGTTAAATAGTGCAGCATCGGCTGGTCTCGCACTTTAATATTCTTTCAGTAGAGGGCGCGCCACATAAATAGTGGTCTCGAAAATTATCTACCACCAAACTCGTTTGGGGGGCAACAACTCCAGAAATACAAAATGTATTAAATTGAATTTTAAAGTAGTGATTTGTCATTATGTTTAACATTACGAGATTTAATTTCATAAGAAACCGTCAACCAATGAAGCTATATTGACCGTAACAATACAATGTTTTATGCGCGACAAATGCAATCCGAATGAAAGTCAATGTCGATTTTTCTCGTGTAAAACACTAAATTGTTACGACCATATCATTTTTATTGTCGGACTGTTTCTCGTGATATTCAATACACCTCTTACACACATCATGGAAAATCAGTCAACAAAAATTCAGTTCAATACATCTTGTATTTCTTGAGTTGTTCATCGGAAAACGAGTTGTTTATTTTTGTTCAATAGTGCAGCATCGGCTGGTCTCGCACTTTAATATTCTTTCAGTAGAGGGCGCGCCACATAAATAGTGGTCTCGAAAATTATCTACCACCAAACTCGTTTGGGGGGCAACAACTCCAGAAATACAAAATGTATTAAATTGAATTTTAAAGTAGTGATTTGTCATTATGTTTAACATTACGAGATTTAATTTCATAAGAAACCGTCAACCAATGAAGCTATATTGACCGTAACAATACAATGTTTTATGCGCGACAAATGCAATCCGAATGAAAGTCAATGTCGATTTTTCTCGTGTAAAACACTAAATTGTTACGACCATATCATTTTTATTGTCGGACTGTTTCTCGTGATATTCAGTACACCTCTTACACACATCATGGAAAATCAGTCAACAAAAATTCAGTTCAATACATCTTGTATTTCTTGAGTTGTTCATCGGAAAACGAGTCGTTTATTTTTGTTCAATAGTGCAGCATCGGCAGGTCTCGCACTTTAATATTCTTTCAGTAGAGGGCGCGCCACATAAATAGGGGTCTCGAAAATTATCTGCCACCAAACTCATTTCGGGGGCAACAAATCCAGAAATACAAGATGTATTAAATTGAATTTTCAAGTAGTGATTTGTCAATATGTTTAACATTACGAGATTTAATTTCATAAGAAACCGTCAACCAATGAAGCTATGT